AGAGACTATGATTGAATCACCCTAATCATGAGTGTTCCAGCCTGCAAATTTATTAGAAAGGAAGTGCATAGTCTTGATCCCCAAATTTTGAAAACCTGAGATTCACCTAATTTCTGAAGTATTTTCAAATAAGTCATGAGAATAAAACCGAAAAAAACAAGTAAACCGTGATTATTAAAAAAACAACGAACTAATTAACTTTTTGCTGAGAATTAATTATCTCTATCATTCTTTCATGGTCAAAATCAAAGTTGAATTCAATTAATATGTAGAGAAGGTTTTTTAATAATTTTCTATTTATTAGTGAGTAACATCCACGCTTACTGCCTGATCACATAGAGTCAACAATGAATGCATTTTCATGAGCATTGCTATCTGTGAGAGAGAGAGAGAGAGAGAGCAAGCTGCATATATGTCAATATTATAAGTTGTTTGTGGGGCAGCCACCATCCTCGGCAACTCGAAAATTACACTAGCCGAAATTTGACCATTTAATGCTCATACAAAACCTTGGCAAAGTATGGTATGAGTTTACTTCTGGGTTGTCAAAGCCAAAGACGACCATGTTTCAGAAGAGCGAAGCAAACATTTTAAGCTCTTGAGACGGAGATCCAAGGGAAAACCAGAAAATTAAATTGACACATAAATGAATATGTACATAACAACAGTGCTCATGATACGCAGATTGCCCGAACTGTCATTTGGAAGTCCGAGCTGAAGCCTAGCTCTTTCCTTTAAAACTGGGCAAAGAAGCGCGGAGTCTCCGATCCCAGTCGGCCTGCAAGTCACTACCGTTACAGAAGCACGAGAGAGGAACTGGACACTCGATCCGTCCACAGCACCTCTCCGTCAACAGTGATGGAAACGGCGCACTCCTTTACAGCTACGCGGTTGAGAAACCCATTCAGTTTAGAGTCTTTATTCCGACCGACTTTGTGGAGGTAGCTGGGGCCGGGCCCTACTCGAGCGCTCCGTCGGAGGAGGATGGAGCGGAAGCAAGCCGCTCGCTGCCTGGTGGGTATGGGAGCGGAGCGGACCGGAATTGCTACGTCGAAATACGGCGCCGCGTGAACCAGTAATGATGTCCGTCCGGTTTGGTGCAGTACTGTCGTTTGTTCGGTACCGACGGTTGAACACCGTCGCCGTTTGCAATTCAAACTGCGGATAAGTACAGCGAAGATATCGAAAGGCTCGCGTGAGCATCATCAGAGGATGCTCATGATCTGACATCCATGGCCCCATACCAGGCCAGACGACAACAGCCGACGCAGTCTGAACCGCCCAAAGCCACCATGCCCCATCGTCCGTCACGCATGCCCATGCATAAGCTATGACATTAGATGTTCAATTTTTGTACGTGCCGTTCTGCTCGGGTTCAAAGCGGGACCCGTTTTGGCGGAAATGACGTCCATTTCTAAATCATGTGGGGACGGTCCCAAGCTGCTGCTGCTGCTGCCCTGCCCGCCCGAGCTGCTACCGGATCCCGTGATGGGGCCCACCTCGGTGGGGACAGGAAAGATTGTCCAGACTTACGACCACAAGGCTATGAGAAACTAGACCCCCAAAATTCACGGGCAAAAGTTGCTGAAAAGGAACCTTGTACTTAATGGGCCCGTGACTTCGGGGCTCTTTGTCTTTGTCGCCATCTCTAAAGCCGGCTCGTCTACCAGGTACCTCATCTCACTGCGGGACTGTACTGGTTTCCAGTACTCGAATAAAATGCGATTTGAGATAGAAAGTGCTTAATGTTTGCTTTTGCTTCGAAAACAGAATAAAGCGCTTTATTTTCCAATTGCGGTTTGTCCTCTTTTTTCCCTTCTTCGCCTGCTGTGTACCGTCTCCGAACGCCTTCGATGGATTTGGGCCACCTCCAGCTAAAACAAGCGACGACTCCCGACTCTAGTCGTAGCCCGCTCCAGAAAGGGATCCACTAGCCCGCCCAAGGAGGAAGCCGGCTCCTTGACGAGAGAAGGGACGACAAAGAAGGGAAGGGCGAACACTACCGCCAACTGAGATCACGAAGGGCTGGTTGAAGGAGCTCAGGGGTGAGGGAAGGTGGGCAAGCGCCTGCCAGAAACCTAACACAGCGCCTGATAAACTGTGCTTACGCTTACATTCACAGGAAGTGCCAAGGTCCCAAGCTCTAGGAATAGCAAGTACTGTAGATCGTCATGAATTTTCATATCGGTTCGTTTATTCATTGGTCAATCACAGGTTGAGTTGTTCTCCATCTCAAAAGAATATTCATAATGTCTAACAATTCCGAGCGATCTGATTTCTTCTCACAATGTTCACAAGATAGACGAATTTTTTTTTAGTATTTTAATAAATTAGCAAAACAATTTCAACATCGTATGATTTCTGAGATTAGATCATATGACTAGTCGGTTTCAAATTCACCAATGATTCCAACAAACAGGAAAAACTTTTTTGCAAAGTCAATTCCAGATCAATATACATTAAATTTCTTCTTCAATCTCTTTCATGGAAATATCAAGAAATAACAAATTATTCTGAAAAATTTCAAACGTGAAATATTATCCAAAGATGAAAATTACTTGTAGTATACATAATATCCAAAAAATGAACCTTGAAGTGATTCCGCATCAAATTTTACATTATTATCAGTGAAGGTGATATTTGACTAATTTTATTATCAAATGAAAAAATAATAAATATTTCAAACATGCTCTTACTGTCCCATAATTGAAATTTTTCATAATTATCAATTGTACATTGAATTTTTTTTTCTAATATTTTTTTTAGAAAAAATATAAATTTTCAGTTCATTTTTAATCAATTAATTAGTTATTTGAATTGAAATATGTTTAAGATAATGATAAATAATAAATTCTCTTTAAATTTTCTTGAATGAATTATAAGGTATACTCAATTTTTTTCATTGTATGCATCAATTCTTACAAATTTTATCAAGAAGCTTCATAAAATTAAATAATGTGAACAAGTATTATCTATCTGTTATAGTTTACAATGTTAAGTTTATCTGATTAAAATTAAAATTACACTGAAGAAATGTAATGAGTTACATCGTCGTTTGAGTTTTATGATTATCCAGTTTCAAATTCCAAACAAACAGACGATTCAATACATTTTAGAACTAAAAATGTATTCTTCATCTTATTTGCCAATAATAAATTTACACTCTTTAAGTTAAATACGTATTTGTGAGCTGAATCTTGTATGATAAAATTGCATTCATCTCATTAGGATCCTCTAAAGATCAAAATTGTATAAAATAATAATGAGAGTCAATAATCATAGAATAATCATGATTCTTATATTAGATGAGTTTTTTATTATTAGTATATAAAGAATAAAATAAAATTGCGACTGAAAAATTTAATTTAGTGTCTTTATTGTGTATAAGGCGATTTAACAAAAGCGGCTTCCCTGATTTTCACAAGCGCGGTACCAAGGTACTGCGCTTGTGAAGATACAGACTCCTTAAAGATAGGAGGAATTTGACTTATTCCTTCATTTCGTCTAATGGAACAGTTATTTCTTTTCAATCTAACAGATAATACTATAGTAATGGATTTCATGTCATGATACAGTTATGTAGAGATCACGCACCAATTTTTGTTTGCAACCCATGTACCCATCTACCCTTTTGACAACAATGTGCTATGATGCATACTCATATACCAGGGTTTGGCGACTAAAATACTGAAACTTGTAACGGCAAATTGTGACATAAGAATAATATTTGAAAGAACGAACACATAATCCCAAAACTTGAATAAGGAATTTTTTTTGAATGTATAAATTTTTTTGCCTTATAATGAAACAACATATTATCTACTTTTGTGTCTTAAATGTGCATTTTTTATTATGAAAATAATATAAAAAAATAAAAAATAATATAACTAAATATTTTCAGATAATATTTTTTAGCTGATCTCTAAAATCCATAATCACATTTTCTTGCTTTCAATAATTTTAAATATTTGAACAAATTTATAATCTTAACTAACCATATTGTTGTCATTAGATGCAAAAAGAAGAACATGGATATGTTTTTCTTCAACAAGAGTCAAGACAGTCAAGCTTCAGAAATGATATAATCAGATCACTACAGCTCTTTGTTTTCAACAACATATTCACATCTACTTATCTACACCGATCAAAGTTGGGAACATATGATGATAAACTATATATCCTCTAAGATTTATCTACCCATGGCATTATGTTAACAAAGTTAAAAGCATTATCCAATTTGGAAGGTAAAAACCTTTTTTTTTTGGCACTCAACTCAATTCGAAACATGCCTTTACTATTTTGTACGATGACATTTTTCAGAATTGCTGAATCCAGGGATTTTACCCGAGAAGAAGGGATTTCAAAAACCATTTTCTTTGGTGGAGAAAGAAGCAACAATGCGTGGTTTTACATCCCCCTCATCGTCGCTGCTTTCTCCATTGAACAATTGCTTCTTAACCCCAAATCAATCTCCAAGTTGAGAATTTTTTTGATTCTTTAGAATAGAAGAGTATTTATATATATCCACATATATTCTCTGTTTACACTCTATCTTCCTCGCCGCACAATTACTGGAGATAGTTGCCATTTAATACTTTGGTCAAACTACGAAACAAATCAATTTTCCCATTATTTCTTTCTCTTTATTCCCTCCATGTGTGTACGTTTCTGGTTTCCGGGGTCCAAGCCTTCGGGCTCCACAGCTCCATGAAACACACACAAACGCGCTGCTGGGATTGGCTACTTCCGCCATAAACGAAAGACAGACCGATTTCCGGCTCGGATATATATGATGGTTGCAGAATGTTCTGCTTTTAGGTCCGACAACGTGCCCCGGCTTGACCGAGGTTCGTGTTCCGCTTCTTAGGTTCGTCAAAGATCCGCTTGCATCGGGTCTGCCATGAGGCTCGGAGTTCGTGTTCGCGGAGACGAGGCTAGCGACGGGGCCGAGGGAGCTCTGATACATAGTCACTACGTGATTGGTCGCTTATGGTTTGCGCAGTAGTCGAGCACTGGTCGCAAGGAGCCGTTTTGTGCTAGATTGGGGTCGCTGTCGTGCTCCGTGTTCGATTGTGTCGTCGTGTGCTGATTTCATCTCGGTCGATCGAATCCCGTCGTCATTGATGATTGCCTGAAAGCGAGATAGAGTCTTAGTTTTCGAACGGCAGGGAGCTGTTACTATACAAAACGAGCCTGGAGTGAGAGTAAGGCAGGTCACTCGTCCGAATGAACAACTGCGAGTCCGTGGAGTGATCGAAGTCAGTGCTGTTCATTTCACGATACTTCAGCCAGCAGTTGTGTGCTCTCGTTAGCGGTTCGAAATGGTGGCCCTTCAGCTCAGTACTTTGTTTCTTGCTGCGAGTGAAGCCGGTGTGAAAGCGGATGTTTGAAACGGGTGGGGCGTAGCGAGCTTCACGAGTTGAGAACGAGGAGTGTGGCGTTCTGCTTGGCGAGCAGGAGGCTGAGCTTGGAAAGGCACAATGCAGGGCGACAGGAAGCAGTCAAGATATGGGAAAATGCGAGCTTCGTTCGATTCGGAGGGAACCAGTCTAGGACCCTCTCCTCCTCAATCACCGCCCCGTTCTACTACGGGTAGTCATGGGCATCCCCACCCGCTGTATTACGTGCAGTCTCCCTCACGAGACTCCATCACTTTCAATGAAGGCGACTCTCTGTCTCAGTCTTACGCGAGATCTACCCCTTCTGGTAGTCCTCTGGCCTCGCCTTTGCACAAATCATTCACGACGAAAAGTCACCACCAAGAAGTCCATCACCTCCACAGTATTCCAGGAAGCAACCCAAAGCCGGGCTCGAGGCGAGTCCTCCCTCAGCCTGCAAATGTCGCCGCCCCCGCAGCCAAGAAAGGCTACCAGCCTTGGAATGCCAGTACCATTCAGGAGGAGGAAGAACAAATGCCCTCGTCTGAGAAGAGAGGCCTGTCACGGTGGTGCATCGTGTTCCTAGCTGTTATTTTTTCTCTGGTTTTCATTTTCATCGTCGGCCTCATATTCTGGCTCGTTTGCCGTCCCTCATCGCCCGTCATCTCTGTGAAGGTGAGTCTTCTTGCCTATTTTACCTCTTTTAGCTATTCCATTGTTATCAAAGAAATTTCTGAAACTAGCCGAAACACCAGGAGGCTGAGACACCTGCACCAGCTTCGAAATTTCTCCTCCCGCTGAAGTGTCACTTAGTGTATCGAGTATCTGACTCGAGACTTTACTGAAACTCAATGTTAGAAGAGGGTTATTTTGTCTCACCAATACTGTAATGTGGTAATGAATGAAGCGAGCTCGTCTTTCATTTTCGATTCAACATCATAACTCGAAAGACTCGGTGACCAGACTTCTCCCTCGAGCTCGGACTCGAGTCGCTCGATGCAGAGCAGGCTTCGACTCTAGTGAAGCAACCAACGGCTTCCTGTCTAAGCCGTCTGCGTTCATCCTGCGGTCTTCGTTTTTCGCCCGCAGTTTTCTGTGTGAACCCCCGGTAGCCATGTCCCGCCTGCCCGCCCGTTGGGCCTGGTTGAAGCCAGCGAACGTGCTGAGCTCGGTACCGCTGCCATACCGTCTCCCCGGATTGTCGACTTCTCCGGCACATCAGAGTCGGTTGCCATTTAGAAGTCCAATCGTGTTCGCTGTCGGGTTTCCGTGGACGTGATTTCAGAAAGGAAGTTTCCGGAGTATAGCGCGTACCACGTAGCAACAGTTGCACGTCGGTTTTGTTCGTACGTAGTGGGCTGCGTTCACGTTTCATGCGGACGCGCGGGGCGGGGCGAGGACAGTTGATAGCATGGGGAGCGATTGATAGAGTAGCTTTGAGGCGAGTGGAAGAAGGCGAGTGCTTTTCTTGAATACGGACTCCTGCTCCCAACCATGTGACCCCGTGATCTTTTGCGGATATCTTACGTCGGTTTTGGTCGCTTGCTGTCGTCGGGAATTGTTGTTTTCTTCTAGAGTTACCCCAAAAGAGTTACGGCGCGGACATTGACGGATTATTTTTTTGCGGGCATGTGGTTTTACAGAGCATTCAGTTTCAAAATTTCCTCCTCGCGGAAGGCAATGACCAGTCCGGAGTTCCTACCAAGGTGCTCACCGTCAACTGCACGACCACGTTGGTATTTGAAAATCCTTCCAAGTACTTCGGCTTCCACGTCTCCCCCGCGCAGATGCGGGTGATCTATCAGCAGCTGGAGGTTGCCGACGGAGAGGTGAGCGTTGGCCCTCCGCCTGCCCTCGCTTCACTTTTGCTTTCTTGGTCGACGTACGTGCATGTCCTGGATAGTTGTAGCTTTGTGTCTCAGAGCGGTCGAGAATGCTCGGCGCCCCGCCTGGTGTACATGTGCCCACTTTCCTTGGTCTTTTCCTGATGCCTGTCGGTTTTGTACGCATTTGAGATCGTGTGGTTGTGTTCTAATGATGATGACCCTGGCCTATCTGAAGCGGTCGCTACATGGCCATCTGACATGTGCGGTGTGCGATTTGTGGTTGGATTTCTCTGAACTTCTTGGATTTGTGATTGCAGTCGAAGAAATTTTATCAAAAGAAGCAAAGTACAGGCACCATCGTAGTGTCAGTACATACGAATAAGGCGCCCGTGTACGGCGCAGGGCCGAGTCTTACCAGCACCTTCAGCGCCGGGCAGGGAGTTCAACTCCAACTGCAAATTTACGTTAAGTCGCGTGCGAATGTGGTCTGGAAGATTGTGAGACCCAAATATACGAGCAGAATCACATGTAACATTATCGTGGACTCAAGCAAGTCTGGAAATTTGAAACTTCTCCAAAAGGTGTGCAAGCCCAGCTAAGCCAGGGGCTCGAATCAGGCTCTCACCTCTCCGTGAGAGTCGTGTGACATTAGTATTGGATTCCGATCTCAGCACTGCTTGACGTTTATTTTATATTCTTCTTTCAACCGCTTGCAGGGATGTACATTTTACCGATCCATGCTGTATCTGTGCTATAGTTGTAGATGGTTTAGGACCGAATTAGGATCACTCTAGCAGCTTTATCTGGTTAACCTACTCCAGCGTGGGGGACGTGATGTATCAGAGGTGGTTCCAAATTATCAGCGTTCCACCACGAGCAGCCGAACTAGTGCCGGAGGAAATTCTCTGGTCTCATGTAAACTAATTGCGGTGTTGGCATCTTTTGTAGCACTGACAGGGAGCGACTTTTTAGCTCTTCTCAGTGTATTTTTGTTGTCGAGAGAGGTATAAGACACCAGCACTTTGCTGGCCTAAGTTACTGAAATTGTAGATATCACCGGGATAGTGGTGTTAAGGAGTGGATTGGCCTTCATCTTGTATCGTTAAGACAGATTCACACAAGCGTGTGGCAACTTCTAGGTTGCCGAGTGGGTTTCTTCCAGGCTGCTTTCTACTTCGTCGAGTTTCGAAAAAGAAATAAAGATCTATATATAAATATAATATTGTGGTTATAGGTCGACCAAATTCTTTCTTTTTCTCACTGTATACTTTTTCATCATCATCTTTTAAAATCTCGTCTCAAGCTTGCAATGCACTTCCCAAGCGTGAATGACGGTGGTGTCTTTCTTTGTGCGGTCTGAACATAAAGTTGTACCAAAGGTTATGTAGTGCGGTTGGAATGCGTGAAACCTGGAGGCATTGTTCTTGGGACAGTCTTACAGGTAGAAAAATATTGTGAAGTTTTCTGTTCATGAAATCCAACTTACACAGCTACAACGAGTCCACCGCAGTCAGCTATGAATCTTTGAACTGGAGTATGGTAGTAATTTGTTATAGGATTCTACCTTGACATTGAACATTTTACACTGTACGTCTGACTGGTCCGTTTACCCGGCTTGAGTTTGAAGCAGTGAAAAGGTCGAGTGTGGTAAGGTGAGAACTTTCGGGATTCTCAGATCTACTTCTGCCTGTACGTTGGCTAAAACTAATTTCCAAACGGAGAAAGTGAATTCGAAAGAGGATACTGCTCAGTTGCCTTCAATGTTGTGACCGTAGGCGAATGGCTGACAAGGTTTGCTGTCACCATAGGATCCGCCCGAATGGACGGTAAAAGAAAACTTGAAAGCTGCGATGAGTGAAAAGGGTCTGACACTGAGGAGACGTTGAAAAGCCGACTACATCGTCCTGGTATCTGTCCTCTACCCAGTTGTTACTGCAATCTACAACGATTCTGTCATTTATCTTGTAAAAAGTAGAGGCTTCCAAAAAAATGAAACGTCGCTGTTGATTCGAGAACATGCTCAACATATCTTTTTACAAGAAAAGGTTGAATTTCGATTTTATTGACTTACAAGTGAAGGATGAGACCGGAAAAAAAGATTCGTCTCTGATCCTCAGAGAACATCTTCAACGATTCTATCATTTCATACGTGAAAGTAGAGGCTTGAAAAATAGATTTGTCGCTGATGTGCGGAGAGCATCTCCAACGATTCTATCATCTTACACGTAAAAAGGAAGAGGTTTGAAAAAGAGGTTTGTCGTTGATGTTCGGAAAACATCTCCAACGATTCTATCATCTCACACATAAAAGCAGCGGCTTGGAAAAGAAATTTGTCGCCGATCACTCGAGAACATCCCTGCCCAAGGTGAAACCATGGGTTCGGGAAAGTTCCCAAAGAAAGGAAGTGTGCCTTCTTACTCAGAATTTGGTTCGCAACGAAGATTGAGATGCCTGTCGAAAGTAGTACCTCTGCTGTACGTACGTTCATCGGGATGAGCAATGTCTGGTACAGTGCGAACAATGCAAGCTTTGCTCAGGCAATCAATCACGCGAAAATGGGACTGACGACATTGTACCGGTACAATCGAACATTTGCATCTTCGCTAGCGAGAGCGTGGGACAAGAGCGTCCAATCCAACGGCTTCACAATGAACGGTAAACCTCCATTCATGTGGTCGGTAAACATTAACATACTGTTCTTGTAAGAAATCTCAAGGCAAGTGTAATTCAAGAATGGTTACACTCACTTAATACAGTTATTCCTCGACATGGTCTCTTCTATTTGTAAACTATTTCCAAGGAAAGGCCAGCGCTGTGCCTACAACTCTATTCCAGTTTTGTGCAAGCTTTTGCTTCAGACCATCATGCCTTGAGGTACCCTACATTCTGCGACAAATGCAGCACCAGGTTGTCTCTTCTCCCCTCCCCCGTCCTGTTGTCAGATCCTTCAACGGATCCCTCATGCAAAAAGAAACATATCAATTAATTTAGATCGGCCGGAGAGTCCTGGGAGCAATGGCCAAGTGTCAAAAAGAAGTTGGAGAAAAGTTCCTATCCATTCAATACTTGGTCTTGCGGTAAATTGGCTTTATGATACACCACCTCATAATGGGCAAGTTTTCAATGGATGCTACAACACCGAACCTACATGCCGTCAATCACGTCCAAAAATCCCATACCACCTGCTTCCAAAGAAGCGAAGATGGCCCTACGTCTACGTTGGAGCTACATTCTTTCCATACAACATCTTTTATCTTTCAAAAGAGGTGCACACTTGGCTTCTGCCTCGTTCGGTCTCATTTAAGCAATGGCGGAAGACCAAATTGAATCTATTGGGGTTTATCTTCCTCGGTGCTATCATCAAGGAGTTACGTTTTTGTGACACAAGTACTATTATCCTTATCCTCTTGGCAAAACCTCCTCATGTTCCATGATATATGGGTTGATCACATTGACATTTTTTTTGCAAGACAATTTTTGATGACACATACAATTTTTTTTAGTTGTTTTCTGCAGAAAATCTAAATATAATGTATTGTGTTGATGACACGTATTGTTTTTTTAAAGTTATTTTCTGCGGAGAATCTAAATATAATGAATTGTGTTGCCTGTGATTTGAATATTTTTAGCTTCTGGCTTCCCGCCCTTCTTGCCCAAAGAGAGTTAGAGTTTTATTTGGAATGAACTCTCATTGAACAACAAGAAATTTATATCACCACACATTCCATAAGTTGAGTTGATTGCTCGTATAGTGCCAATTTTTAAGGAGATAATGATGAGGAGATTAGGTATACTAGTATATGACCCATGAATGCCTTTACACCTTTCAGAGATCTTGAGACGATCACATGAGTTGAATAATAAGAGCCAGTTTGATGACAATACTTGGACACACATATATTGGCAACTTAAATTTTTGAACAGATATTAATGGCCGAATAATGTTCTTAGATTTTGGCTATTTGGGCACAAATAACCAGTGCAATAGACCTACAAGATGTGTCATATATACAAAAGTGGATGTTCACATCCATTCTCTCATAAGGCTTGAACTTTCCATTCTCCGTTGGGATAATCTTTGTTGTTGTACATATACCATTGCCATTGTGCCAATGTTGATATGTAATTATCACTGTCATGTTTACATACACGCCTTGGTCATTACTTTTGCTTTAAGAGTGATACTACATGTCATTATGTTGATAAGTGGATGACAGAGACATAAATACTTGACAATAAGAAGAGTGGAAGTAAAGAAGTAAGTATATACATTATTGATTGTCAATGATTAGGGATGACCTTGCAGCATTCTCCTGCAGTGGTTATTTCTTTACAAGGCACTCACACACAAACAAGTAAGACCTCGAATTAGCCCAAAGTGTCACATGCAATATGCATACATGTAAGCGAAAATCTATAATTCCATCGGAGTCAACTTCATATGCATTCTATGAATTGGAGTATAGCGATACTAGGGTCGTCTTCTAAGGACTCTTTTTGGATACGCTTCTGCAACTCCATGGACTCTTCCTCTTAACTTTATTGGCCTCCCGGTGGGGAGTTCTCTCCTTCATCCGTCCGTAGGACTGTCCGTAGGACACACGACTGTGGTGGCGGCGATCAACAAATCGGAGGCCCGCGCACCGGCCAAGACCAAGATATGAGGGTAAGGCTCTATCTATGGAGAGTGGAGGGATTTTTCTACTTTTTCTAAATTTCCAGCCGCCATAGGAGGAAGCAAGACATTAAAAGCAACTAATTTATGACAGGGATGGTCCACCATGGTGCATTGCCCGCCGTTGGCGAACATGGTGGAAGCTACAACCAGTGCTTTACAATGTCAAAGACTTTCCAAAAATGAAGCCGTCTTTAGTTAGTGTCAGGCCTCCACTATTTCCACTTTCAAATTTATAATATCAACTTCTCCTTTCGGATGTCTAAAACTGACTGATTGAAGTACATTGCTAAGCACGAGATGCACGCGAGATGCAAAATAAAAGGGGCGGGTTTGAACATTGCGAGGGATCTTCGGGATATAGAATAATGCCCCCGCTGCGACAACGTAAACAGATGAATTCGCTACATGTTGTGCGACGGAATTTTCTCTATATGTTATAACATGTAGAGAATTAATAATATCTGTCGCCGCTTGTGTGCTGGAACTTTCAATGCCGACTTTATTGACAATAAAAACTCGTGCAAGTTCACTTTTATCTCGTTCACTTTACGTTACAATCTGATCCCTAGTCCGAACGAACCTCGTGAGGTTACAGAGCGAAGTAGAAAATAAAATATGCAAGATTTGAGAAATTAAGAGAAGAAAATGTTTAAATTTTGTTGGGGACTCCAGCAGGGGCGACTTGCCAACTAAATGAAAAAAGATTCGCGATGGGATTCATCATCGAATCAAGCTTCATAATGATGAATCTGGATTGTTAAATGAGTGATTGACGGAGCCCACCATGCCCTGATCACACGGTGAAGGGTCAAACCTGATGATGGGTGGACTACCGTAGACCGAACCGCAGACAGACAAACCCTAAGATCAAATGAAGGCCTTGTCTTGTGCCGCAGTGCGTCTTGAGTCCCTCCATCGCTCTCTATTTCGACCGGAAGCCCTCAGCCTTCAAATCGTGCCAAGACTAAAGTACAAAGGGCCGGAATTGATCATTTGGAGGTTCGCACAGGGAGCATTGGAGCAGAGCGGAGAACATCAGGGTCTCGTGGAGGGTTAACAGGAAGAGCAGGCATGTAAAAAGATTCACTCTTGATGAGCTTTCGAGCTCTGGCTTGGGATCTTGCGAAGAAAGGCATGCACGCAGCTTTCCAGCTTACAACCACCTGCTACTACCACTCCAACAGTGCAACAGAATTGAAGGGATCCGCTCTCGGGGTTTCTTTAATCGGTGGGTGCCACTGGGTGGTAGCCAGAGCAGCCAGAGCAGCCAGTTTATGGCTCTGTGCCCTATGGAATTCACCAGCAGGGCAGAGATTATGAGCCGCTTGGTGGTGGCCCCACTGGAGCCCGTCTTTCCTGGCAGACAGCACGAGGGCGCGGGCTTGGCCATTTCTGCACATCTGGAGGCCAAGCGAGCCGCCCCACTTTGCCCTGTGGACCCCTCATGTTCCACACCTCTCTTAAGTGGAGACGATTATTTTATTCCTTATCCGCGATAAACTTTGGACGCATGTGCAGATTTTCCGATCCCTGCGGTCTTACGCTGTTTGTTTGTTTGTTTTCTTTTGCATGGTGTGTTTTCAACATCCGTGCTAGAGACTAAAGTTTCTGCGAGTGCTTTGTTCTGCTTGTTTGAACTTCGTGTCGTCTATCCGGCCCCACCTGCCTTCGTCCAGATTTCTATGACCAGTTCTGAGGATGCAGTGCAGGATGCCTCTGGTTCCCCCCCCTGTCACATGTTTCATGGATGGCCAAAGTTCACCCGAACTTCGTTACCCATAGCACAAGTCGTCAAATCATGTTATCCATCGAGTACGGAATTCAACTTGCGATTGAAGTGACGGTCGCATACATGGTGATTTTGAGCTTGGCGTTCAAGTACGTGTATCTCACATAGCCTCTTGTTGGCATCGATGGACTGGAACATACTTGCACATATGTGACAATAATCTTCTCACTCCTGTTGTCGGTACGCATCAAAACTATTTCAAGCTGGGATCTCCACATGTCATTTGGTGAGTGACGCTTTGAGTTGGGTTCAGATTTTGTCACGATGGTGCCCCTAGTTAGTTACTCTGTGAGATGTCCTGTGTTATCAGTTGATAAATAAATCTATTAATTACAGCTAGAGATTCAGAAGGGCTTACAGTGAGCTTCTATTCCCGTGAATCCCGGAATTGTGAGTGTAATTGGTTCTGATTATCTGATTTTGAGGCTGATGAAATGTACAGAGAATTTATCTATTTCTTCCCAGATAACATAATTCCAAAGTCTTTGTAACTATAAAAAATCTATCAAATAAATATTGGAATTCAAACACTTAATCAGAGTTCCATATTCTATTGTAAGTGTTTGATGTTTTAATGACTACTATACATTTTTAGATCAAAACGTTGACACGTTTTTAAACATTTGATATAAAAAAATTCACTACTTATGAAGTTGTGACTAATATCATACACCTTTAGTAAATATTTTTTCAATATGAAACAGTCTTTTGGTAAATTAAAATTTCATCATAAAATTTTTGAATTTTGAATATCATGTTAATGAAACATAAAATGATGTTTTCTCAGAAAAATATTTAAAAGATAAATTTAATTTTATGTGAAGGTTATTAAAATTGCAAATCTAGATTGTGAATTAAATGATTGGTAGAAAGCACATAGATCATAGGATTACGAATGACATGTATGTTTTTCCTAAAATGGAAAGTTTTGATGTTTTGGAATATAAATTAAATTGGAATCTGATAATTTTGGTCAATTATATCCATGAATTATTACCACATTATTCACTTTATTTCTATTGTAAAATAATTATTCAATATTTTTTGCTGTAACATTCTTGTAGTTTTGTTATGAGTAAGAAGCTTTAAAATCTACAGTCAAGAATAAAATATGCGTTTCATAGTTTAAATACCATGATTTTTATTGTAATCAAAATTATTAAAATTTTAAACCAAATTTAACTCAAAATTCTTATAATTTAAAGAATTTTGATAACATTTAATATATTTATAAGGTTGAGATATTACAAAGCAATCTGTGTCAGATAGTTTAAGGTCTAATTTGCTAATGATTTATGTACAGCAAATTTTTTTTTGTAAATAAATTCAAATACTAATCTAACATGGTAAGTATGCGTTCAAAACTGTATATATGAATCCAAGGCTGCAATCTAAGAAAGTGAACTAGAATATGTCCATAAATTCTTCGGATATCATGAAAAATGGACACGAAATAAATACTGTCATGCTCAGGTTTATGCCACATTTCATAATAGTATCAAAGAAGGGTCACACGCAAATTTGAACTGAAAAGTATCAAATATCTAGCTTATAGCTCTAGCACTCCAAATTATATTACTCAGAGACAAGGGGAGAATCAACTATGTCCAGCATAGTTGGATCAGATGCTGCCCCCAGGAAGTTGTTCATCAGCGTTAATTACGATACTATGGTTCACACAATCACTAGAACACTGAATTTTGCCCCCAAGATTGGATCTCTTCCTCTGAATGCTGATCTTGAGTTGACCCCGAACACTGCATCCCTTCGCCTGATTTTTCGGTCTGATTTTTGTCCCTGACAGCGGGAAGACTTGGTTAGGCCATGGTGGTGGAAACCTCTTGACGTCACTTCTTCGGCTCCAGTTTGAAGTCCTTGAGGGTGAAATGTCTCCCGACGCCTGATTGATTCGCCCTTGAAGGTGGAGAATCTGTGCTAGTGGATCTTTCGCTCCATTTATCCCTGGAGGTGATATGAAGATGATCCCTGAAGGCTCCTGGCGAATCATGAGCATGACTTGTCTATGAGTGGGCGTCCCGTTCTGTCAATATTTCAGCTGGATCTGATTTGAAAGTTTCTTCGGCCAACTATAGAAGATATCCATGAACCCTTCGTTCATGGATACAAGGAAACATGCTGGCACTATCTTGGCTCAGACCGTGAAAGGAAGCATGTTTGCTTGCTACGTGAAGCAGAGAGTTCACAATCAGAAAGTGGACGTAATGTAAGGCAAGAGCTTTGACGCCGAATCCTCTTGAGGTCGCCAAATTCACAGCTTGTTCACCGTTGGCACTACCAGCTGACGTGGAGAGAAGGTGATTCCATATCGATGACGTGTCAGACGCTGCTAGAAGCCAGCGTGGACACGAAGTGCATCACACGAGGAGAGGTCCGCTTCGTCTTCGGCCATGGAGCTCGTAGCGAGCGGTGGCGCAAGAGATGGAGCCCATATCATTCCGTTGTTCCTGCCGTGGAAAGCTTGCCCAGAGAGAAATAGAAAGGTCATCGACAGTCGCTCTCACCAATGACGAGAAGTTTGACAACCGAACGACCCAGAGGTTCGCAGGCGCATCATCACCCGTCCATCTGAATTTGATTTCATCGGGCTCCCATCTCATACTCTTCCCTCTAATACTGCTTTCCTGCTCTGAAATTGTCCAAACAATCCCACAATATCTCATCCCAAAAATCCGCACCCACACGATAGGAATTGGGGCAATGATATAGTCTATAATTGAGCGAACAATCAAGGCATGGATGCGGAATTTCTACGGGAAAGACGAGGTTCGGTGTGAAGGTTCTGGGTAGGAAGTATGTCCGAACACGTTGATGATCGTGTCGGAAATATCCCGCAGGACACGTCTTTTTATGCCAGTGTGTCTTGGAATTCTGAATGTCGGGATGGAAAGCATGCCCGCCCTCCCGCCTCTCCCAAGAGATCTCTGCGCTGTTTTGCTCTGCTTTGCTTTTCTATGCTTTAACGCTTTCTGGAAAGGGGCGCTTCGAAAGCTCTTTCAGCTCAAACCCTGAAAGGTGACAAATACGTGACAAATGTGCCCAAATACCATTTCTTGTTGGCAGCAGCTGTCTTGCAAATTCAAGCAAGATACAAGATGTGTTCAAATTTTTATCAATTTCTTGGATGTTTTGCACAACTCGCGTATCGTTCGTCAGCAAATTTTACATTTAGGGAGTCCCCAAAGATGATACAAGCTATTCACTTCCATCTGAATTAAATACGTCCTGAAGAGGCAAACTTGAAACCTGCATCTCCAGCCTCGTGAATTGTTTCATATGAATAACATAAGACTCCGTGTGGATCATCCTGTTATGAAGTTGTTCCCGCCCACTTATTCAAATGAGGATGAAGAGTCTGAAGGAAAAAAGAGCACTGAACTATGGAGTCGATCTTTCGTGGTCACTCTTCAGTCTGACCCTATAAATCACACCATTCATCAGTAGGACGTCTCTCGAGCAGTTCAAGCTCTTAGTCAGTACTGGGCTTGAGTCGTGAGCAACGAGAGTGGCGATCACATCAAGGGATCGTCGAGTCAAAGAGTCTCAAGTGGAAGCGTAGATTAGAGACTCAGCTGATCAACAAGAGGGTAGATTTGCCTCATGTGTTCCTGATTTGCTTGACTTCTGGGTGTTCAGTACACTGAGTTTTGATTGGACGATTCCACGACCGAGAGCAAGCAAGCAAGATGGACTGCAGAGACGGTTAGACTTCTGCAGAAATTTTACTGGAATGGTTGGATGCACGAGAAAGCCTAGTGGAAAAACTAATTCTTGACAAAGCTCATAGCAAACCACTAAGCACATTTTGGGACCTCCATGAATCTACCTCACGGTGTAGAGCTTTGAATTGCATCGGACATTTCACACTCTACTGTAACAGAGAATTGTGAATTTGCGCCAACCAGAATCCAGAACGAAGACAAAAGTATGTACGTATGAAGACATGAAGCCACACGCATGGGCTTTGTTCATCAAGGCCATTTCTAGAGCAAAGAAACCTGGCTTCAAATTGCTTCTAAAAGCGAACTACGATTGAGAATCAGGTAACGCCATAATCTGCGAGACTGCAAATTTTCCGAACATGTGCCGTAAACAGCATACTCATTTGTTTTGAGTTTTATTTGAACGGGACAGTGCTACTCCGACAAGAGATCAACTGTGTAAGTTGAGGCGAAGGGGAGGTTGTCAATGCACCGAACTTGAGGGAAATCTGAAGACATCAGACAGCTACTGGTTACAGTTTAGTGAAGAGGAACTAGAACCCGGCCAGTTGTAGTTGTATGGGCAGACATGCGCATTTATTGTTCTTTGAATCATAACTTCTCATGCCTTATGAACCTTCGAAACAGGAATCACAGAACACGGAGTCAAATTCCGTTCTTCCTAGCTCTTATACACTGAACAAACATAGTTCTCAAGACAACATCTACAATCAGCTCGTATATTCATTCGGTTCGTTTTGTGGTGCAATTAAATATCTAATATAAACATTGAATGATTTCACTCATTCGTCATTTAATGAGTATATCGGTGCGTTCAAACGTTACAGAATTGGTGTTCAAATCTAAAAGCAGTCGTTATATTTTACTTGATGCTGAACACAGTTTCAGGATGCGATTCGTTCCGATTTATCAGTAAAGCCAGTACAACGGAAAATTTGTAAAAGCTATAAAGCTCGGGTTAAAACCATTGTTTAGTTTTAGAGATGACTTCACTATCACTGGTTTTTTTTTTGTTAGCTCGCAGAGACTTTTGTCAGCACTTCGTTCTTTTCTTTCGCTTGCTCATTGAAATTGGCTGAAAACACTCTCAAGATCAAAACCATCGTTTAGTTCAAGAGATGAATTCACTGTCACTGGTTTTCTCTTGAAAGGTCGCAGAGACTTTTGTCAGCACTTCGTTTGTTTCTTTTGCTTGCTTATTGAAGTTAGTAACATTTTATCTTGAAAGTGTTTTCAGCTAATTTCAATAAGCAAGCGAAAGAAACGACCGAAGTGCTGACAAATATCTCTGCGAGCTAACAAGAAAAAACCATTGATAGTGAAGTCATCTCTAAAACTAAACAATGGTTTTAACCCGAGCTTTATAGCTTTTACAAATTTTCCGTTGTACTGGCTTTACTGATAAATCGGAACGAATCGCATCCTGAAACTGTGTTCAGCATCAAGTAAAATATAACGACTGCTTTTAGATTTGAACACCAATTCTGTAACGTTTGAACGCACCGATATACTCATTAAATGACGAATGAGTGAAATCATTCAATGTTTATATTAGATATTTAATTGCACCACAAAACGAACCGAATGAATATATGAGCTGATTGTAGATGTTGTCTTGAGAACTATGTTTGTTCAGTGTTTAGTGCTTGCTCATTGAAATTCGCTGAAAACACTCTCAAGATCAAAACCATCGTTTAGTTCGAGAGATGATTTCACCGTCACAGGTTTTTTTCTTGTTAGCTCGCAGATACTTTTGTGAGCACTTCGTTCGTTTCTTTCGCTTGCTCATTGAAATTCGCTGAAAACACTTTCATTATCAAAACCATCGTTTAGTTCGAGAGATGACTTCATTGTCACTGGTTTTTTTTGACCGGAGCAAGCAAGCGAAAGAAACGAACGAAGTGCTGACAAAAGTCTCTGCGAGCTAACAAGAGAAAACCAGTGACAGTGAAGTCATCTCTCGAACTAAATGATGGTTTTGATCTCGAAAGTGTTTTCAACGAATTTCAATAAGCAAGCTAAAGAAACGAAGTAAGTGCTGACAAAAGTGTCTGCGACAAGTTTTTCAACAGAATTCAAAGGTGGTATTATTCTCAGGCTTTATTTGCTGAAAAGCCTCAGAATTCTGTTGAGAAACTTCAGCACTTCAACTTTTGTGAATTGGCTTCCTTGTGGTTTTATCGGTCTCAACAGGCTGACGCTTCTTGTTATCACATGCTGCGTCGTCCGAGGCTCCTAATGCTCGAGGATGCCCCCTGGTAGTACGCTTTCCTGTAAGCCGACCGTCGACATACGCTGCCACGAGCTCGCTATCGGCATCCAAATCGTTGTCACTTCTCTTAGGCTCCAGAAATTCATCGAGATCTACGTCAGAACTTGACTGACGTCTTCTAACTCATTTCTTAGGCTTCACAACCTGCTTGCCGGGAGTCTCCTGCTTCCTGGCAACCCGCCACCGCTTGACAGAACCAACCTTGGTCTGCTAGACCTCGAAAGTGTGCAAATGCTTATCATAAAGCTCTTGAAGGAGTTTCTCGTGCAGCTGTCGCACGATGGTCGCTACGGGACCCTGTGGAAGTTGCCCATGTTCGGATGCACTGACTCTGCTTCAGTGTTGAGGGAGATTGAGAAAAGCAATAAGCTGTCCTGACACAAGTGCTACATCAGGTGCTTGATTTCGAACAATATATGTGCTGGAATTGGATATGATCAGAAGTGGTTGTTTTAAAGCTTTGATAACGAGTAGCCATTGCACTGACAAAGGAGAGTCACAGAAGCTCTTGGATTATGATATGAACATGTGAACAATGATAGGTTGTAAACGATTCGGTTGTGAACAAGCGTTGGTTACAGCCTCATTTATGTTTATTATCAGATAATCAGGCCGAGGGTGTAGGACATATACAGACTTTGACATCGCAGAATCTGCACAGCATGTACGACTTGTGTTTTGGAGGTAGTAGAGCATAGCATAGCAGGGCAGGACATGATGTCGGTGTGGCAATTTGTGTGCAGTGCAAGCTCTTCACTGGTTCTATCCTCAGCATCTGTTCGCAATTACAAAATCCTGCAATCACATACTCGGGAAGTGAATGGACTTCCACCGATCGAAAATGTCGTCAACTGGTTGTTTCTTCTACTGTCAGTCCTGTGACTAGAAGTGACCTACTTCTTTCTCCAAATGATAATCCCTTATGATTTGAATTGCTTATTCCCTCATCATCCTCATCATCATGGTGTACCATCCGAATCCAAGTCACTTGAGATATGACGAATCCAATAATACAATATCAAACCCAGAAGGATACGTTGCTCGGAGAAACCTCTCGATTCTAATAGAAAGGTCCATGATAGCGTCGAATAATGTAGAGACGGCTTCACCTGCCTGAGCTTTAACTTGGACAAGATCAATCAAGAGTGCCCCACTGATCCCTCCTTCTCATCAACGATCTTCGATGCATCGTCCAATAATGACTGCCATAACTATCAACTCGAGATGAGAAGAGCTGTTTGGAATTGAAGACTCGAACACCCTTGTGAACTGACTGGACTTTATAATGCTTGAAACACGAGATCCATGATCTTATACTGATACTACTGCCTGCTCAAAGACGCAACATGACGTCAATCGATTTGATGGGATAACACAAACTCGATCATGTGTTTGACGAAATTTGAGCCAAGGGGAGGTGCATTTGCTACTGCACATGCTAGAGAAAACTATGTAAAATGACAAACAATACATATGTCACGGCTTCGACATAAGTCCTTTTCATAGTAAACACAACAGTTAGAGGAATGATAATGCGGTTAAAGCCCATAGCTCTGTTAGACAAACTAAGGTTAGCAGGTAAAGTTCAAATTAAAGCTCATGAGAGTTTAGTTTTTGAAGCTAAGCATGGTAGAGTGAGGGCATTGTGGTTTGGCTCGACTTCTTTAATGTTATTGTGATAATTTTCTTGATGGACGTTTTGAGAAGAAAAAATTATTTTTTGAATATGAGAGTGGATGTTAGGGAGAGATTTATGGATTCTTGGAGAGCTGAAAGTATTTTGGCGAATGCTGGATCGATGATAGCTTTGATCTGGTGCTTGCAAGGTGTTGAAACCGTCGATGTTGTGATAATCATGCTGGAATTGTAAAATTAGAATCGATTCGAAGTCCTTGCTGATGGTTTGACATTTTTGCATTTCAGTTTTGGCTGAAAATATATTAAAAACCTTTCACGCGCAAAAACGTTGCTGGATTCTTTGCAATATAGATCAAGCTCCACAGTTCCTTCAGGGAATCAAATCAAGATGGGGTTAAAAATAATTTGTAACAGGAGTGTTCGCAATCCATAATTTGATTTTCGAGTTTTGGTTACAGATCCCAATTCAAAATATAAAGCAGCAAGTTGTAGGAATAATAAACAGTGTTAGTTGGATGTGAAAATTCATGAACTTCTAGAATAGGTAAAATATTTTACCCTGAATTATATACCAAAAAAAGGTCGGTAACCTTAGAATTTGACTTTTGGAGATTCATATATAGAGTTGAAGATTTGTAATTGAATTCTTAGAGTTTGTAAAAGTGTAAAATAGTGTCTATTTGGGAAAAAGAATGTGCTACGAGTTAGATATTCATGATGATCTAATCTAGATAGTTTGGATATTTTAGATGCATCTCGTATTTAGTCTCATTCACATTATCAATCATCACAGTTCCTGTTATGTTTCTTTTAGAACAAGTAAGCACTTCACTCTATGCAAATATGGTGATTATAAAATTAATCTGGTGAAGTTTTTTCGCACTCAAAACAGATTCAACGACGCCGCACTAAACAGAGTGATCTGGATGGTCATGCAATTGCTGTCATTTTAAATCTATTTCTTAAAGGATTTAAATGTAGTTGTTTGTAAAGCTGTGTGAGTCAGAGTGAGTTTCCAGCTTTGAATATTTCATAAAGTAGAACTGTGACTTCCGTCTGGTTCATAAATATCAGAAGACCAGATCGTAAATTTAGTTGTTTCTTAAGAATATCACCGTTTTACAAATCTAAAGTTTGTTAAATGTTTCAAAAGCATTGTAAGGAAGATCGTTTTCGCTCGATGCAGTCAGAATCGCCACTATTCGCTAGACGATGGACACCGGCAAATAGAATGCATCTCTTACGACCTGGATGGATTAACCAGCCCCAGAATAATAAGAATTCTGAGTCACTCTTGAACGAGAGAGGTTCAAAAGTTTAAATGTTTCCGTCCAGGTTCGAACTGGAGACCTTCAGTGTGTTAGACTGACGTGATAACCAACTACACCACGGAAACTTGGTGCCCATTCATGCACTGATATTAATAAAGTTAGAGAATATCGATTTGTCTTTAACCTTGCACTCGTGGACAAGAATCGTCCTGATTCTGCCCGTATTTCGGACGCAGTTGATATCGGCGCAGTTCCGATGTGACGCGTCTCTGCCATCCGCGACAGTGAGTCTCGCAACCGGTCAAGGGTTTCACAGTGCCCTCGACCAAAAGCAGTATGAGCAATTCAACCGGCGCCATCGGTCACTAACAACAATCGACAAGAGCCCATTGGCTGCCCTACCTTTCAGAACGGCTTGCACGGCTTGTACCTGTCGTGGTATGCTATTTACGTGGTCGTCGCATGTTCTCCCTTTCCAAATTCCCGAATGCAAGGTGTGGAAGAGGCTCCTTCCCAAATCCGAGGAAGGTGGCAATTTATTGGGACCTCCTCTTAAGTTGGATCCACTGTTCAACTTATCCTCCCCGATGCTAGGGTCCCTGGGGTGATCCTGTTTCATTTCTCTAATTAAATGTGTTGTCACTTTGTTTCCGATCCAAGTTAGCTTCGCAATTTTGTATGTTCATGTTTATCAGTGCTTTTCAATGCTATTGTTTTGCACGACCTTGTTTCGAAGATACAAATATAACGTAGAAATAAAAATAATGAAGAAAATTTTATTGATAACGCATTCAATTGCATATTTTGATATCATTTAGAACACATTGAGTTACATGAATGTATGGAAAATTCAGAAGAATTCTCAATACTGTATAGTAGAAAATTTAAGAGATTATTTTGAGGATATATATATATATATATATATATATATCTATCTATATCTAAAATTAATTTATGTTTTGGTTTTGAAACATGTGTTAACGTAACACTGTCTTCATAAATTTATATTTCAAATATCTTGGAATATTTGAAAAATAAATGTAAACGATGGAAGATTTAGAACATACTTTACAATGATAATGTGTTAGGAAGATGTTCGTGTGGGATATCGTCTATTTTGTATTGATATGACACCATTTTATGTAAAATTTGTTATCCATTTTGAGTGAAATTTGGACCGTTTTAAACAAAATAACATGCAACCATGAGGAGTATAAAAAATCGAGGTAAAAATTCACAGAAATATTAAAATTCAGAAATCTATCAGACTAAAATATTGCAGTAAGCAAACTCGTGTATCGTTCATGCACCGAGAGCTGCACAACTGCTCGTGCACTATGAGAAGACAAATGGTCAGCCACAAGACCTTCACTTCAACAACCACGTCATGTTCATTTATGCATCAATCAATTCAGTTCTCACGTTTTGCTGGCCACCTTTCAATCCCGTCACAGCAGATACTCGATTTGTATGTACATTTATCCGAATATACGATCTGGAATCTGTCAGTGTTATGTCAAATTGTAGTCGACTTGGCAGTTGACAAGGTTGTACATTGGCGCTGACGATCGAGAAGATCGTCCATGCGGCAGCATAAGGCGTCCTTTGAGAAGTGGTTTGATTTCTCGAAGGAAGAGGCTCCACTCCCTGCACTTTGAAATTGGCTGATACCAGAAAATTCCAAGCCTTCTTTCAATGCCGCAATACCCCTCCTCTGAAAACGTCTCCTTCGAAAGTAAACCTACAGGTTTTCCATTGTCTTCCCCAGGACTACGGTAAGCTTGACCTTAGGACTTAGGATTTAGGGTTTAGGACTATTCAGACCCACTGAATAGTTGTTCCAGATCAGACATTAGTCAGTCGGGCTAGATTCCTAAATCCCTCCTATTGTGAGAAAACTCTGCCTCACTTCGGCACAAAAGTTGCAAAGACTCCAGCTGAGACATTTGTTTCATCGTGTTTCGGGTTCTTAAGCAGATTGAGATAGTGTAACCTGCAGATCAACAGATAAAGGCCAAATTAAAGTCTCGGCTTGCTGCTAAAGTTTCCAACATAAGATTTGAGTACAAGGCATGGCGAAAGTCCGCTCTGAAACATGTTTTGGCAGAAGCACGCTCCTTACTCGATCTTACAAACAGCGCCGGTCCGATCTTCGGGAAGTGGTGATTCATATGAGAAGAAGCGCACGCGATTCTAACCACAAGCAGTGCATAGCAAAAATGTCTTCCCGCACCTTGCAGCCTCCCGATGAGGATTTTACAATTCCATGGAACCCTCATCATGTCCTCGTCCGTTACCAATCCTTGCCCATTGAGAAATACATGAAATCCATCCTCCCTTCGTCGCTCGAGGAGTTTACCACCTTAGCGTTACAAGTCCATCCGAAAAAAGCCCAAGAAGGAGCAGCGCTGTGCTTCTGCGAAGGGTTTCGATAAGAAGCCAACCAAATGTTTGTCTGAGAGAGTTCTCCTGTTCTCTGTTGTAGGGAATCTAATTGTGCACTCACATTTACAGAGATTGTAGACTGAACGAGTTCGAGCAATGTACAAAAGTGGTAGATGCTAAAGTCCAAGTGCATAGGAAATTGTAGACCTAAGGAGGCGATCCGAGCACAGATTTCCTTATCTCCTTCTTGTTAACCTTGCCCATGGCGTTCCGAGGCATTCTTTCCCATATGACCAACTTCTTCGGAACCTTGTAAGCTGCAATTCGTTCTAGAGCCCAAGTCTGCAGCAATTTCAAAGAGAGACGAGGTTTTGGGTCGACAGCAGAATCTGTCACGTCTGCTGCTGGTGGAACTACAACTGCACAAACAATTTCTCCGTACTCTTCGTCAGGTAGGCCGAAAACAGCGCACTCTGCTATGGCTGGATGATCGAGTAAAACAGCCTCGATCTCCAAGGCAGATAGCTTGAACCCACCCACCATGAGAATATCGATACTGGATCTGCCAAGAATTTTGATGTAGCCGTCCTTCATTGTCACCGTGTCGCCCGTCTTGAAGAATCCGTCCTCAGTGAAAGAGTCATGCGTCACCTGAGGCTGCCTCCAGTACTCCCTGAACATCGATGGACTCTTGAACAAAAGCTCGCCGACGCCTCTCACATCCGACTCCGAATCGTCGATTCTTATCTCGATTCCTGGCAATGGCATTCCGACAAATCCAGGCTTCTTCTCGCCGTGCAAGGGATTGGAAAGGCCCATTCCGAATTCCGTCATTCCGTATCGTTCCACCAACCGATGCCCTGTCAGAGACTCCCACTCGTCCATGACAGGCTCGGGAAGAGCCGACGATGCGCACAACATGACGCGAAGTTGTTTCGCCGCATGCGCCGAGGCCTTGCGTGCTTCGGCATCCATCGCTGCGTAGCCTTGCAGAAGCCGGACGTACATGGTCGGCACTCCAGTGAAAAGAGTGATGGGCGATTCCGCGGACGGCCCATCGATCGGATAGCAATGGCGCCAGCGTTGCCAGACTCCGCTCGTGCTGAACTTGGGCATGAGATCGATCGTCGCTCCGACATAGAGAGGCGTGAGAAGCGCATTGATCAGCCCGTGCACATGGTGTAAAGGCAGGCAGTGCAGAAACCGATCTTCCGCCGTGCAATCCCACGCCTCCGAAATCATTCGCACCTGCGCTCCTAAGCCTGCATGAGTGTGTACCACACCCTTGGGTCTTCCGGTGGTGCCACTCGTGTAGATTATGAGAGCCGCCGCGTCGTCCGCCACAGCTGAAATTCGGCTCCGCACGTCCGCCACAAGCTCATCGACCCCGACATTTGGTGACTCAAATTCATCCCGCCCTCGAGCACTTTCGACTGGTGGAAGGAGATACAGTTCAGCAGAACTATTTCCCACCAGATTTGCCACGGCTCCCACACTATCCGGCGTCGTGAGAATCGCTGAAATCTGTGCATCAGTAATGACATGCAGAAGCTCAGCTTCAGGGAAATTGAGGGCCAGAGGGACTACGACATATCCATTGAGCCAAGAGCCCCACACCGCAGCGACGAACTCTGCGCATGGCCTCGCGATGATGCCGATGCGTGCACCGATGAGGTCACTCCGAACTTCTTCTGCGGCCGAGTGATCATGGTGTTTGTACTTGTCCTCGAGGAGGTGGGAAACAGACTGGGCAGAACGCAGCAGCTCGGCGAAGCTGAAAAACTCATCGCCTGTCGTTACAGCAATCTTCTCAGGTGCCACTGTCACAGATTTGCAGACTGCACTAATCACCTGCATCTTGCTCTCACTCTTCTGCTCTTAGATTTCTATCTTTCAAGAGCAGAGGTTGTAACCAAGCGCAGATCACAGAATTGCGTTTTTGTCATGGCGAAGGATGCGCCACGGAATGTGAATGTACAGAGTGGAATCCGTGGATTCTCACCACAAACTTTGTTGCTCATGTCCTCGTGAACGAAGGACGGCGAGGGGCAAGACACGCTGAAACATCTTCCGACCTGTTGTCAACAAGTGACGATCACCGTGATCTTCACTGTCCGTCTCACACCTGACCTTCAATAAAACACCAGTTGATAATTCGGCTTCCATTATGTTCTTTCAGTTTCAGGGCTCTTGGGCTCTGTATTCGAGTGCGCTATTTCGACATTGATTTTTATTGATCCTCGTCCGACAAGGTTGGACGCACTCCACACAGGCCACTAGCGCCACGACCCCAGAGAAACATACAAGGGCCACAGGCCTTGTCAATCTGCTTGCAGTGGAACGTGTGAGATGTTAGTTTGCGTGAAAGTTTAAGTAAGGGAATGACATAATGAAAACGGCGACTGTCAAGACACACATGAGAATGCAGTGGAACCTCCATTTGTTGCGGAGAGTCTGCCAAAATGAACAGAACAGGCAAAGAGCACGATGCAGAAGAAATCCGTGAGCATCCGTGAGAAATATCGAGTGGCCAGTTTGTATGACGAACAAACATCTGAACGTAATGTGCGAAAGTGGGATCAAAACCATAAAGAGGAAAAGAAACAGGGTGTCATGCCCAAACGTACAGTAGAAGCGTGCAGGGACGAAACGTTTTCACAACTATCGTATGGATTGACCTGTTTGAGTACAACACCATGAGGAACAACCGCAAAAAGTCTTAATCTGATAGCCTGCAGAAGATGGGCTAGTGACATTACATGCTAGATAATGGACACAATGTACACGCAACACATGGGTCCACGGTCACACTCGTCACTTCCTAAACGTGGCTGAGCGGTTTCCAGTCATAGAATAGACCTGCCTACGAGGAGCTTTAGGTATGCCCTCTGGTTTAGGATCCTGACGAACTCTCCTTAATGCATCAAACCCGGAGCTTAGGTTTTTTTTGGAAGAATTAGGCTTCTTATTAAACTTTCCCTTCCCTTTGCTATCTTTTTCATCCACTTTCTCGACATAGAGATTTTCTACACCCAATCGTCTCCTGGCTTCGGCATAATCGAAACTACCGTTTACAGCGCATGTGTCAAGATCAACACCTCCTTTCGACAGTGGCCGATCGACCTTAGCCTTTTTCCTCTTGTCGGTTTGTTCACCAGAAATCGATGCCCCTGTATTAAGTCCACCGCCTGGTACAGGCAGTGCAGTACCACCTCCCCTATTTCTCTTCTTCCGCTTTGAAGAGCGATGACTTTCAGATAAAGATGGTGGAAAGGAAGAATCAAGCTGGTCTGCCTTTGTGTGAGAAGGCACATCTTTTGAAGCCATCGAGACCAAGTCTACTGATCTCTCACTAGCTCCACCTCCCATGCTTTCCTCTCCAGCAGGTTCTCCAGCATGTGGCCACCATGTTCTATGTCTTCCCTCGCCGGCAGCACTATCCATATATTTAACCTCACCATCGTCCTTTCCCAAGGCAGGAATAAAGGCTGCTTCCAACGACACAGCTTCTTCTTCTCCTTCTTGCCTCTGTACAGTTCCCGCGTGCTCGGGAGAGTCAGTTTTGAAGACTGACATATCTACAGCTTCTTCGTCTTTGAAATCTTCACCAGCGGCGTTCAAGACAGGTTCAACCGTTGAAGTTGTCACTGACTTGAAAGGAAGAACAATGGTAGACTCAACAGCTTGAGCCTTCAGCCTAGCCTCCACCTTTTAGATGACAGTCCAAGAAAACACGTGTTACTTATGATCCTTCAGCAAAGGGATCTAGAGCACACCAGCACCATTAAAGAGATGCATCTCACGGTACATATAGTAAAATTGTGACAAACATACCACGACCACAATAAGACTTTTGAGCCATTCTCTACACATGGGAAGAGTTGAGAGCAGGAAGAACCTGGCCGGTTTGTGCAGCAGTTTGATATTCTCCTTTTTGTTGCCTGCTTCGACCAAAGAGAGAAGCTCCGAATCCTTTCGTTTTAGACCGTAACTTAACCTCTGCCACATTTTTGGTAGGAATCTGAGTATCAGAATGTGGGAAATGTGCATCCTCGACAGCGCCAGTTGAATATGTAGAATTTTCTTGTCGTGTCACTCCACCATGCAGCGTGATAGAATCTATATTATTAGATAAAAGACTAGGTACAACAGGGCAAGGTAGTTGGGAGTCAACAGGTTGCTCTGCAGAGAGAAGTCCAAAGTTTGGCTGTGAAACAATCTTCTCTTCCACAGTTCCTGCATTTCTCGCCTCTGGAGTAGGCTCCCTGGAAACACTAGCAGAGGTACCAAGATGAACTCCAGTCGTTAAATCAGATTCCAAGTGATGCCAATCATCAGGCTCTTCAAATGTGGGTTCTGCCAAAGGTTTAGACAGAAGGGCAGTGTCCAACATTGATACGGCTTCTGGTTCTAGAGTTTGCTGTTTCATCGATGGGGACAACCCTTCCTTTACTCCACCCAATTCACCCGCAACTTTTGACGTTGATACCCCTTGCCCACTATCACTTCCAATGAAAGTAGGTCTAACACGAGGCTGCACAGGGGTGAATATAGGATTCTCTTTAGCTTGACGAATCAAGTCTACAAGAACCCCGGAGTAGAAGTTCATTATGCCTGGCATTCTCCTTGACCCTTTCTTGCTAGCAACATATTTCAGTTTTGCAACAGTTTCAGGCATTTCCGAAGCTGCATCGCAAAAAAACATTATCGATTAGCACCAATCATGAAACCCACTCAGTAAATGTACGGCTCAGAAAGGTTTGCAGGGTTCATTACTGCTCTATACTTCAGAACAGATATTACGATATGGATACGCGCATAATTACAAGAGACAAGCACAGACCGTGCGAACTGAACTAGTAGATATAGAGCTTCACAATGAGCGAGTGAACGAGTTGGATGCATATTAAAGTTCGGAGATGTATCTATGTACACCGTCACGGCAACCTAAGCTTCCAAGGACAGTTCGAAGTATATGATAGTACACAACACAAACAGTAGAAACTTATGAGAGATTAGATACAGAGGACGCGGATAAGGCAAACTTGAACGCGAAACGAATCATTTGATCCAGGCATGTTCTTACTAAAATCGATTGCTTACGTAAATGGACAACTATGAATGTCTTTATGAGTAGGTTCAACCAGGTTTAACGAAACGCACTCACCTAGGTCAAAGAGCATGTGCGTAGGAATCACATATCCAATGCTTTCATCTTCCTTACGAGCCATATTATCCCTCCAAGCATGCAATTTCTGCATATATATTGACTTATCAGGTGCAACTTAAAATGCGCTAAAGCAACCTTAACTTCCATTAACTGGCCTGTAAGGAATCGTAATGTTTTCAGTGTTATCAAGTGGAAGCCAACACACTTCAAATCTCCAATATTCAGCAAAGAAAATATAGATTTGAGATGAGAAGGAAGCAGAGTTGAGAAAAAGCAGTCAGAGAGAATGCTTACAGCAACTGCGGCCACTTGATCGGGCCTAAAATTCTTTTCGTACAGTCTGCAAAAATCAAGTCAAGTGTAAGGACTCATAAGAATCAGCCTTACATATCGTTCATACTTACAAACGACAATGTCAAACATAAACCGCTCATTGAAAGGAAAGATCGCAACCAATGCCCACTTACCCATGCAAGTTGAGGTAAGAGGTTTCAGATAACGGTTCGTTGCTAAACAACTGGAGGCATATGTCCCGACTCCGCTTCCACACCTGTTCACATCCCGTTATGAACATGAATTACACGTTAAACACTATACGACAATACACCAAAAGAAAGTCCAATTTCCTCTGAATCTGCGGAGACCTCAATTCAACAAGTACCTCGGTCAAAGGATCTTCGCATGGATTGGGACCGTCCCGTATGACGAGAAGTTGGTTCTTCATCATATCATGTATATATAACAGGTAGTGAGTGTCTTCTCTAGCATACCTGCGACATTGATACAGTTTAATTGTAGCAGTTTGCTTAGAGACTATGTAAAACAAGAGATGCCAACATAGGATGGCAACAGTTCAACACGAAAAATTGTGTAATTTGTACTCCTGGGAAGCGAGGAAGACAGCTACTGCTCACTTCATCATGTCGCCAGGGAGTGGCCGGACTCTCCAGTCAGCCAGCTGCAATCTGCAGACATCAAGAACTTAGTTTGTTAAATACAATTTTGAGAGTTGCTGTGTCGTAAGTATATCCCAGGATTGACGACCTTAAAATGGACTCCTTAAATAATTGCTACATGATAGTAACCAGTTTTGGTTGACTATACTGAATCAGAAAATGCAAAGACGTAGAACTTTACATATATAACGAGACCAAGTACGACCTGCGAGAAGTCAATTCTTACGGGCCTTGGGAGCTAAAGACCAACGTAACTAAACACGTCCCACCTTACAATTGACAAACAGAATGACTTCTACGCACAATACTAATGCAAATTAAAGGAAACAGACGATATGGAAATGAGTTTCACCTTTTATCAGCGATTACTCCGCAGTACGATTCTAGTAAAAAGCCTAGACCAGCACTAGGCAGTTTCAATACTCTTGCCGCCTGCACATAGCCTAAACCCTGTCATCTTTCCATCTAAATTGTAAGATAACAGATCTCAGTCACATGAGTGTAACTGGACAAACCTAATATTTTAAAGATCCTACTGGACGGTACTTTTGAGTTGTCAACCTGTCGACTGAAGATTGACAATTGAAAAGTTTGTCCTTTGTGAAGATGATTGATGATTTTAAAAGTCTAGAAAGAAAGTCCAGCAAACAAGCGACACAAGACTGAGAAGACAAGAAGGTTGTGCAGAGCATGATACTATTGATGACCACCCGCACCTGGCCAGTATCAAACATGTTGCAGACATAGATGCCAAAGTCGCGTTGAAGCCAAACTATATCATGGTCAGCTCCGTGCATCACCTGTGAAAACACTCATTTTATTACTACTTGCATTGACAGCTCCAAACTTCAAAACCTACAGTAACCGATATGCTGCCATTGCTTTTGCAAACACCAATGAGATTAAGCCTTGCGTTCCACGTTAAGTTGTTGTGTTGACTACTTGCGTAATTTATCCTGTTTTGGTAAACGGAAGTGTAAATCCCAATGATTCAGAGTCACACCTTTCGTATCCTAGAGTCAGAAAAGATGTCTCCCAGGCAAGGACCGATGTGACTTCGCAAAGCTATCGTATCTACAACAAAGTCTTCCTGACGAGTCGACACCTGCATAAGGCATACAAAGCCTAGATACGAGCGGTAGTGGTGATTTTCCAAGTCAACCTGGGATACATTCACAAGCAAGCGCATTATATTAAGTAGGTGGAACAAATGAGAAATCTATGACAATCTTAAAACCTTCCGGTGAGGCAACATAGACCACATTGTCATATTCCAGGAAAGATCTCATGTAACATCGCAGCAGCTCCAGGGCATAGTTAGACGCGCTCATCGAATTTACCGCAATTTCCCCTGCATTCCGAAGCTTCTTGGCCATTGTCTTCAGAGAAGCCTGGGTGTCTACGAAAGTGAACGGTGTATCTTCCAGAGAACCAGGTTTCGTAGCTTCGAGCGGCTCTGACAGAGGCTCCACGTAAGCCATCTCATTGAGCTCATTCTGAAGGTGACAAACCATGAACCAAGAAAAAATATTTAGCAAATGGTGGCAATTAGACTTAACAAACGCGATGATCAATGATGGCTAAGCTAGAGGAAATCGTCCACATCACCCGACATGAAATACAACCATAAATCCTCGTCATCTTGTCCCGCGTCAGAAATAAAACTTATCTCTATAAAAAGTTTCTGACTTGTCGAAAGAGAGGCTTTGAACAGCTTAGATAAGAGAAGTTAGAGATTTGGAGTCTGATGTAAGAAAGCGCAATTGTCATTCACAGCTGAAAAGACCAATATTGTGCCCCTCGACCATTCGAAGATTCCTACATCAATGATATGGCGTCCACACAAAGCGGGCCGAACTTAAAATCAGCAATATGGAGAATGTCACCTCTAAAGGATGTACGTCTCCTGCCGAATCATCGAGCTCGGCTTCCATGGCACCATTTTCAGGAGCGGCAGCAGAAACATCCACTTCATCCTTGTCTGCCTCTTTCACCCATGGATTTCGACGCGGATGTTTAAATGGAGTAAAATTGTCCACTGCTTCATCAAACTTGTCTTGAGGTTTTGGCATGTGTCGGGAGCTTGCGTATGGAGTCTTACGAGGTAGAAATGACGGAACTATACTGGCAATCTTCACCTCTGGGGTTCCCAATAGTTCTCCCCTCTCACCCGAGTTGGAAGAAGATACATCAGAACTCGCCACGTTCTTTCCATGTCTTTCAGCGTCAGGTTTCTCTAAGGAAGCGTCCAGTCTTTCAAGAAAATCATCTTGTAGTTCGACGAGCGCGTGGTAACCCTCTTCATTGTCGGCAGGCCAGTCAACAACAGGAGAGGCACGGAAGGCCTTCGTAGCACTGACTTCAGAAAGTAGTCCGATTGTTCTCTTTTGAATGGATTTCACAGGGACCTTAAATGCCTGAAAATTGGTATAGAAGTGAAAGTCATGATCCGTCGGGAGACCATTACAACCTTGCTCCAGCAATTGGACGGCACTGTGAAGCGCTTGAGAAACGTCACGAAACGACTGAACTTTAGCTTTCAAATTCGTGTCCGAATTCTCCATTTTCTCGGATCAACTGACTTCACTCCATCGACGAGACACTAAACAAAGGCTCAACCAGAGCCCGTATTCTTATCCTCCCAGCTCACCAAATTCCACACCGCGCAAATTGCGCACTAAGCACTCCTGGGCCTCTAAACTTTCCTGACACCACCCTCACGCAGTTCACCGTAACGCTTCTCCGAGGCGCAATGAGTAAATATTTTTCTTACTACAAATCTAGCTCACCAAAGCCAGAGAGTTCTCGTACCGCCCTGCACAACTTCACGGCTGGAATAAAGCTTCAGCAATCAATTCACTGAACCGCTTTCTTCCGAAATCAAACTGGTGAGCGCCTCACGATTCAATTCGACAGCATTGACAGAGTATTGAACTCATCTGATCAAAGCCAGCGAGACTACCGCTTCGACTAGGATTGGACCGAAAATTGATTCGAAAAAGAACAAACAATACAAATTCAGAGGGCCACCGCTACAACCAACAAATTCAACTCAACCCGCAATTAGCAGGTGACAGAATTCTCCGCTGTCCCTCTCCCACGAGTGAGCGTAAGCAACTCACTGGGTCTCGGGGAATCTTCCAAAATCGAGCTTGTCTTTAGGTTAGGGTTTAAGCATAAGAACAAGGTAGAAACGGTGGCTATTATTAAGGCGGACGGTTTGGCTCCGAAGTTGGCTGTAACTAGAGGCTGTAACTAGCTCACCAGGTGGGCAGTCACCGGGTACGTCCGGTGGCAGCGACGGTCTGGGGTTCTAGGGTTTGGGGTCGGTGCCTGCTTAAACCGCGGAGTCGGAGAAGCAGCGAGGAAGAATAGCTCTCAAGCTCTCGAGCAGCATCGGGAGGTGGATGACCTCGCCCGAGGATTCTCGAGGTTGCTGCTTCTGTTGAATTGAATTCTACTGATTCGTGATTGTAGACGAGGAGGAGAGGACGGATTGGAGCAGATTGGTGGAGTTTCGTAGGGTCGTGGCGATGGGGAGGAAGGTCCGCTCGCCGAAGACAGTGGGCACGGAGATTTCGATCGTGGGAAAGAAGAAGAAGAAGCCTGCGAAAGTGAAGCCTGTAGAGGAACAGGTGGAAGAAGATGTCGAGGATGAAGTGCAGGAAGAGGATTCAGACGGCGAGAATGGAGAGGAGAATGGGCATCTGAATGGAGTCAGCTTGGGAGCTGACGACGGAAATTTTGATGAGGGTGCGGATGGACCGAAGGCAGCTGTAAAAGCAGGGAAGGAAAATGGCGTCGGAAAGCGGAAGGCGGAAAAGGTTCCCGAGAATGCTGTGGAACAGGAGGGGAAGAAGTCGAAGAAAACGAAATTTGAGATCGAGAGGTTGGATGGTGGGATTGTCTCGGTGTCAGGCATTATGAGCAGTACTGCTTTTGAGAGTCTGCCAGTGTCAGAGCCAACGAAAATCGCTATTAAGGATACCGGTTTCACTCATATGACCGAGGTAAGATTCTGCGTTTCGCTTGTGTGAAAAGCGGTAGGCCGTCAGATTGCACTTCTAAAATTCACGCAAGTTCGACTGAATTTCACTCATTTACAGCCAAGGTCTACAACAAGAGAAATTAAAGAGCTGTCGTACAAATCCCACAAATTCCTCCAGTATACTCTTCGACCCACGTTATCAACAGACCATATTATTTACGTGGAGATTTTCATGGAGATTGAAGTCCAGCCTTGCCATTATAATCCATGGGACTAGCTGTCGTGGTACCAAACTAAGTGTTTTGGGTGGCATCGGCATAATGCATCGTGTTCTCTGACTTAACAGAACTCCTTTTAAGTGTTTGCTCTACATTTTGATCCGTCGTGTGCACGTACATCAACACCTGTACTGGTGATTGAAAGCGAGTGAGGCCCGCCACAAAAGTTATCCAGAACCTGTCCTAGCAGGATATGGGCCATCCTTCTCACATCTCCCTGTTGGCTTGCAGATTCAATCTCGTTCAATCCCCCAGCTGCTGACCGGTAGGGATGTTCTCGGTGCAGCACGGACTGGGTCCGGAAAGACCTTAGCGTTTCTTGTTCCGGCTATAGAATTGCTATACCACGGGAAGTTCATGCCACGGAACGGAACGGGTGTTATCATTATTTCTCCCACTCGAGAGTTGGCTATGCAGATCTATGGCGTTGCCAGAGATATAATGAAGTATCACAGTCAGACTCATGGAATCGTTATGGGGGGTGCCAATCGCAGAACGGAAGCGGAGAGACTTGCGAAAGGAGTGAATTTAGTGGTAGCCACTCCCGGCCGACTGCTCGATCATTTGCAGAACACTAAGGGATTTATATTTAAAAACTTACAATGTTTGGTCATCGATGAGGCTGATCGAATTCTTGAGATTGGATTTGAGGAGGAAATGAAGCAGATCATAAAACTGCTTCCCAAAGAACGCCAGACTGTTCTCTTCTCAGCAACTCAAACGACTAAAGTGGAGGATCTGGCTCGTGTGTCATTCAAAAGAGCCCCTCTGTACATCGGTGTTGATGATGCTCGGTCTAAGGCAACCGTAGAAGGACTGGAGCAAGGATATTGTGTGATCTCTAGCGCCCAACGGTTTTTGCTTCTTTTTACCTTTCTGAAGAAGAATTTGAAGAAAAAGGTACTTTCTGCCTTTTCCTCACTGTCGCTGACTCTTCCTTTCTATCTGTGTGACAAGATATCAATTTGGAAATACAAAGCTTCAATAACGGCGACGTGTGCCGCCTGGCAGTATATATGATGGAAAGGTTGTGACTTGTCGGAAAAAATTATGTTTCGTCCTACTGATAAAGCTTGTGCCTTGAAAATGCAGGTCATGGTCTTTTTCTCCTCCTGCAATTCAGTGAAGTTTCATTCTGAACTGTTGAACTACATCGATATTCCTTGCCTGGACATTCACGGGAAGCAAAAGCAGCAGAAGAGAACGACTACCTACTTCGAGTTTTGCAACGCTGAAAAGGGGATCCTGCTCTGTACTGACGTCGCTGCCCGAGGATTAGATATACCAGCCGTGGTACGTTGTCTTCACATATATAATATACCACATCTGAAATCACATCCATGGTTGCTTCCTCGAATGTGACTTCAGTTCATTTAGTAGGTCATTGTGCATGTTGTCATTCTTGATTTTTCTTTCTTGGTTCAGCGTGTGGTGAAAATTATTTAATTCTGATGGCAGTATAACAAACCTTGTTCTACGTTTGTGTTTCAGGACTGGATTATTCAGTATGACCCTCCAGATGATCCTAGGGTGAGTTTTATAAACCATGTTGTCTTGCAGTGTAGTGTTCATTTTATGTCTAGTACATCTGTTGAGGGTTTCGTGAATTGTATGCATGTGGATGATGCACTATATTTTGATCTGTTACATCAGTCGTTCTCTCATTCTGACACCTTCTCTATCTTGTTCTCTTTCCAGGAATACATTCACAGGGTTGGTCGTACAGCGAGAGGAGAAGGCGCCCAGGGCAAAGCGCTTCTGTTTCTCATCCCAGAAGAGCTTGGGTTCCTGAAGTACTTGAAGGTCAGTGTTTTTTGTTTCTAACTTTTTCTCAAAAATTGAAAAAGGAGATTTTTTGCTATGTCTCTGTTTTTTTCGTGAGCAAAATTCAATATCACATGAGAGTGGAACTGATCTCGGTACAATCAAACGATTCCGTGCACAGGGTGCCAAAGTTCCCCTTAACGAGTACGAGTTTCCAGCAAGCAAAATCGCCAACGTGCAGTCTCAGCTGGTGCGTATTGTTGCTGTCGTTGTTTATCAAGCTTTTTGTCTTCGTTGTAAGAACGTTATACCGGGATCGATGTTCCACTGTATCGTTCTATGTAATGACTCAATACCAGTACATGAAGGATTAATGTCTGAATTTCGTCTCCTTTATTACGCAGGAGAAACTAGTAGAAAAGAACTACTACCTACATCAATCCGCGAGGGATGCCTATCGGTCGTATCTGCTCGCTTACAACTCACATGCTATGAAAGACATATTCAATGTTCATCGCCTGGACTTGCAGGTACCGATTGTTTACGTGCTCTTTGGCTGTTTTGTGGTAATGTTGAAACTTCAGCGTCAAATTATATCTCCTTGATAAGTACCCCTTCTGATTGGTTCCTGTTTTGGATAATATGCAGAGTGTCGCGACTTCATTCGGATTTAGTTGCCCCCCTAAAGTGAATTTGAATCTGGACAGCAATGCTGCCAAGTTTAGGAAATCAGGAGGTAAACCAGGTACAGGGAGAGAACCCAAAGGTAGAAGTAAGAGTGGACATGGCTTCACAGCATCGAACCCATATGGCAAGCGAGCAGACAATGACAAGCGGCAATTTACACGCATTTAGTGCTTAACCATTGTACCATATTATCAGTTTTGATAGAATGTAGGATCTTATTACTTAGATTCAGATCGATTGAAGAGGCTAATTTCTTTAATGAGCAATGTTGGATTCTTGTTTTCCAACATTGGAATAAACCTGACGGATGTAAGGATTATAACGATTCTTAGTGTAGTAACTTGAGTTGTTACAGGACTTATACAGTCTGAAGATGAACTCTCTTACGCTCTTTCGTGTGGACATTTGACGTCCCAGTAGATTTACTCTTCGTGTGTTCAGAAAGAATCCTCAGATCGTGGTGACATATACAACGAGATATGTAATCAGGAACTGAGGATTATTTATCTGAATACACGAAGAGTATGACCACTGTGACGGCACTTGCCAAGACGAAAGTAGCTCTAGTTTTAAAATTGTCCCCGTCTGCATGCGTAAGGTGGTCCAGTCAGAAATTCTTTGTTGAATGCAACACAAATTTGCAATATCAACATACAATTGCCAATTCGGGAAGAGCACAGTTCTCTCTACATCTGTATGATGCTAAACAAGTCATAGTTGAACAACCGTCGGTTGTTCCCGTGTGGTTGAAAGATCTCTCCCTAAGCTGTTAAACGACGACTGTTTAGTTCAGGGTAAAGTTTCACATGTCAGTGGGATGTTTGTTTGTGGATATGTATGTTCTAAAGTTAAATCAATTATGCTAGCCAGTAAATGGCGAGAATTTTAGTAACAAAGTTAATATCAACGTAGTTTTCCCAATCATAGCCATATATCGGTTGGAAACTTTTCATCGTAGAATTTTTGGAACAACAAAATAGCATCTGAACCCGTCTCAAGACAGCATATCACAACATATCTTTTCAGTAAACAAACTATAATTATTGCACATTTTAGGCCAAATCCACTTGATCTTCAACTTTAAACCATTTCCCTTGAAAAATAAATCTCAATATTCCCAAACAAGTTGTATTTACATCATGTTCAAGTGTCATAACCTGTGTCTCTCGGTTTACAGTACGAAAGTACGCCATTTGATCTGAAGCGATTTGAAAACTTCGTCTCGCATGATGTGACTGAAGATACTCAATAAACCTAATTTAAACAGTTTTGTCACCTCTTGCTGTAAGTAAACCATTTATATCTACATTACTGACAATGGATGATGGTACTCAGAATACTCATGAAGTACGAAAGACATTCAACCTACTGATATGTTCATAACTTCGTCGTGGATGATGTATATCAATGAACCTAAACAGTATTTATACTATAAAAAATAGATAAGTACGTTAATTTAAACATGTTACTTCTTAATGTATTTATGCAGTTGAATAGTGAAAACAACTTAGGCACGTATACCTCATGAGTGTAACACCTGATTGGGTCTTTCATTTTGCTATGTTGATTGTAAACTTTAAACTCGGAAAGAGAAACTTTAGCAAGAGAAATTGGGAGAGTATAATAGCCATTGAGGACATGATGATGACCAGATATGCCTACTCCATTTCCAACTTGAATTATCAGTTGATGACCACAGACAATAGTGATGGTCGTACAGGAACTGCTCCCGCAAGAATGGATGCCGGTCGTCTTTGATCTACTACTCTACACATTAGTCTACATTGACATTGCGATACAGAAAGCGCCAAAGCTGTCCATGGTGGCATGCCCACTGGAATACCAATCGACTGGCCTCGAGCTTTGAAGGCCTGCAGCTCTGATTTTGGGCCTAACCAACAAGTTTTGGACCTGTAAAGAAACGCAAGGGCACTCATACTCCCTCGCACTCGGTGCTGACCTCGGGCCGCACCCTCTGCCAGCATCGGTGAGTAAAGAGAATTTATAACAATCTGAGGTAAACGCCCGGAAGGTCTAACTTCCGTCGCCTCGGTGTCCAGACTAACTTTGCTTTGGGTGTTCATGTCCAGTCCAGCTTCTCTCCGGACAGTCATCGAATCAAAGCGTGTTTTCAGCGAATTACGATCAGAATCAGCATTCAAAAATCCTTCATTCCGTAGGACGCGTCTGGCCTCTGCAGGGAGCCCAAGCGATCTCCAAGCTTCAGCCACCAGCTCCAGGCACTTCCGATCAGGATATATACCCACTTGCTTAAGAGCTTCCAAAACTTCTTCAGCCCTTTGGGGCTCTTTGGCTTCACTAAAGCCCCATATCAGAGTGTTCACTGTGTTGGGATTAGGACGGACACCACGGCTCTGCATGTCCTTAAAGATACGGAAGGCGTCGTCCATGTTCCCCACATTGCACCAGCCGCTGATCACGGTTGTGTAAGTGTAAACATTCGGTCTCAGTCCCTGGTCTCTCATTTCTGCGAGAAGACCTTCTGCTTCAGCTGGTCTCCTGGCTCTCACATAACCTTTTGCCAATATGGTGTATGCCGTGACGTCTGGACGCACTTTGTGCACCGTTTGCATCTGATTTAATACAGCTCGGGCCTCCTCTACACTTCCTGATGAGCACCACACGTTCATCACTAGACTAAAACTCTGAACATCGGGCTTCACACCGCTAGCTTCCATCAGTCTCAAAACCTGAATGACAAGAGGCCAGTTCATGTCAACTTCACTCCAAACAATCCTACTGAGATTAGGAACATTGTCAGAATCCACATCGGAGATAGTTTCAAATAACTCGGAACAAACTACACGGGCACAAAGGCACACTGGTCAGACCTTGACCAGTGTGATTTGTTCCTATCCTTGTAGTTGCATGGACACATATTGGCAAGCAGAGTTGGGATCTAAGAAACCACCGTAAAATGTTCTGATATGACCATGTATCCACCTGAACACCGTTCCATGGCTGCGGGCCCATCTACCAATCTACTTTCAGAGCCACATACTTAGTATTTCTTTTGAACCATTCCTTCTGCAACCACTAATTCTAGGTCCCGAGACACATACGTGCTATAAACCTCAAAAAGGTGAGGAAAGAAAGATACCTTGTCGACGTTCTCAGGTTGGTACAGCTCGGAAAACCCCTTAATCAATATGTTGTATATTGGAAGGTTACACCGAACGCCGTCGATTTTCATTCGGTCCAAAAGGGCGAGCCCTTCTTCGGGTCTTCCTGTCTCACAGTAGCTGTTTATAATTATGCCATAAGTACGCTCGTTCGGACGAATGTAAGCATTTTGCATCTCTTCGAGCACCCGCTCAGCCTCAAAGCTTCTTCGAAGCTCGGCATAGGCTTTGGCTATGGTGTTGTATGTAACAACGTCTGGAGAAAATCCTGCAGTGCGCATCAGGTTGAGGACCCAGCGTGCTTGCTCGACATTCTTCACTTTGGCCCAGGCATTGATTAAAATATTGTAAGTTACTTTGTTGGGTTTAGCGACACCGTCAGAGATCATTTGCTGGAGAAGCTTCATGGCTTCTGCAGCTTGCCCGGCCAATCCAAACCCTTTTATCAAAGTGTTGTAGGTGCTCGTCGTGAGCTTGTATTGTCTGTCCTTCAATTGCTCCAGGACAGCCTTCGCTTCTTCTAACCTTCCGAGCGAGCACCATCCGTTCAGAATCGTGTTGAAGCAGATTGTATCAGGCACCACCCCTTCTTCTTCCATGGTCTTCAACACACTTTGTGCCTCTTGCATTTGCCCTTTCGAAATCAAGAGGCTGAGAAGCATCGAGTAAGAGTGCACTGTTGGTTTATGCCCGTCGCTCTTTAAACTACTGAGAAGCTTGCGCAACTGACGAAGGTCACCCTCATCTTTGCATTCTTTCATCATCCTGGTCCGGATCACCACAGTTTGGCACGCTTGCGTATTGTCTGGATCCGAACAACGCGCACATTTTCGATCGTCCGGGCACTCCTTCCATAGATGACCCTTGCTCCCACACTTCGAACATCTTATCTTTATCTCCACAAAGCAAACACCTATCAGCCTCTTTCGCAGAAGAGTGACACTTACAAGTGAGCACAGCATGAGCTATCACGATGCTCACTGACGTAAAACTTAGTGATAAGTGACTGGAAGCATCAAAGCTAAGCAGCCACAGTATTCCAGCAACTGATAATGAAAAAAAATCCTCTAGCTCGCACGAGTGGCTCATATGACAGAAAATAAAAATGCATGGACTGACAGGAAACCTCAAACAATGGTCCATATTTCTGCACTTCACCTGAAAATCAGGAAAATGACCAGGACAGCGACAGTTTATGATTGCAATCCCGTCTAGATTCCATAGGCATTTCAATAGCAAAGTTGTCTACTAATGCAGCTCAGACATTCAGACTTGTTACACAGAGGCTTCCTACTTACTGTGAGGTAGCCCATTGAAAAAACCCACAGCTTGGAATTGACTACCGCTGACGGAAGAACTGGATAGTCCAGGATTTTACCTTCAGTCCTTGAGACTTGGAAGATTCGGAACGTGGAGCAGCGGTCGCTGATGAGGGAGTGACGAAGCTCGGTTCTGCCGCAGGTCGATCATCAGATTCACTCGGAGCTGTAGAAGTAGTCACTCCAGTAGGGACAGATGATGCTCCTTCAACAGGTAATAAGGTTACAGAAGAGTTGGAAGCTGCGCCTAGTGGAGCTGGAGGCCTGTAGATGGACCGGGTTGGCGATATATACGATTTTGGTGAATTTCTTACAGCCTCTGAAGAACTTGGCGAGGCTGGCGAGGGGTAGTCGACAACACTACGAGACCTCGCAGATGATGCCCTCGGATCCGGGGACGCAGATGGAGGACGATACGCAGACGGAGCCTTCGAGAAAGGAAAAAGTCAGAAGGTTGTTAAAGCATATGGCAATTATGGATAAGAAGCCAGAATTAGAGGCCACGTTGTGTGAAGTGAAGAAAGTGCAGGTCATATACGTGCAGACTCTCGGTGACAGCAGACGGATCTTCAGAAGAAGAAGAGGAAGAGGAAGCAAAAGCAGTCTTCACCAATGCCAGCACGCAAAACAAATTCACCTCATATCAACATACGATAAGAAAACCAAGGTGGCAGAATTCAAAAAATCCATGTACAAGAAAGAAGATCAACGCTGCAACACTTCGATCAGAGTTGTAATGTACCTTCCACCGTTCGAGAGATGGCGTACGAGATGGGACATCAGAAGGGGCAGCGGTAGAATTAGCAATGCGGCCAGACGCTTCAAAGGTCGAGGTTGTAGACTCCACTATTCTCGGGTAAGGATTGGGCTCCTGAGGGTCCCGGGCTTGAGAGGAATTGCGAGGCGGAGGACGATACGGTCTCGTGTCGGGCGCGGGGCGCCCTGGCATGGCGCGAGCCACTTGCTTCTCACCCTGCTTAGCAAGTCCTTCCTCCATACATGAAGCTCTGAAGCTTTCAAAGACTCACTGAAATCCCCTACCGCCTCTTCATTATCCCCAGTCTACGCAATCCCGGCGCCAATTGCCCAGCTCTATCTGCCCCATGCCCAGCAGCAGCACAGCTCTCCTCGAGAGGCAAACATGGCCCCATTGCAGAATCGCCAGAAATGTGACCCCTTGCCGAGGACAGACTTTACCAATTCATTGTGTACATTGCATTATCCACCACACAGCGAACTTCGTAGCAGCATCCGCCCGGTGGATGCTCTCCTTAAGCTCTTCATTTCCTGCTTACTCCAGTCACTGAAGGTGAGCTCTGCCCGAAGCAGAAGGCCAGCCCACCTGCAATGCGTCGAATCCTGGAGCATGTGAGTGCTCTTCCAGCTGCCATTAATCTTCCAGAGGCTACTCTTGGTGCGTGAAGGTGTGTAACTATCTGAGACACAGTCATCCTGACAGACCCATAAATTCCCACCAGGGAATCATGACACTGAATCTCGCGCTGTGACACATTGTTCCAGCATTGTGTACGAGTGCTGCTGCTGCTGTGGATCAGGGGCTGAGCTGCAAATGGTGAAGTCTTCGTTGCATCCAGGCGACGAGGTGAGCTCGGAATTCCTCCTGCTCGGGTGACAGGGTCTTGTCGTCATTCACTCAAAACGTCTGATTAGTGGGACTCGACGAATGTAGACCACGCCACATGAATCGAGCCTTCACTAGTCACAGATCCCCCTGTCCATGTCCATCTCCAGAGATTCAATCCAGATAGCCTCCTCCTTCAGTTTCCGTCTCTGTTGCTGTGACTGCTGCGCGCTTCCGTCCTGCCGGATCTTTCTTCACCTTTCCCGCACGTTCCCGTCACGCACTTTGCGGCCGCCGTCTCAAACTTCTGTGTCACCTGAAACTATTCCTGGGCCCAGCCTCATTTCTCCAGCATTTTCTTCCGGTCCGAGAAGTGAACCTGGTCTCAGCTCTGGGCGACCATCAGTACACCGCAATACACTACAAATTATCACGTCTTTCTATCTCAGACTTTTCCACGTGTGTTAACATCATCACCACCACATTTGTGATGGTTGCTGCGTTTGTCATGAACTTGAACTTTGAATACAGAGATAACATATAATCATGATATATAATGTGCGATGTAAAATCATTCATTGTAGTAATATGCAAGGGTCAAGAAACTCAAGATTTGTTACCAACCCGGGAAGCAATTAGCGTTCCTCGTGATAAATGCTTATGCCCACCTTCACATTTAATCAGAAATCTAGAACAATCATCACAATTGAAAAAAATCTTCCTTTCAGTCACATAGATCGACTGGTATTTTAGTACAACATACATTGGTACTAAAATATTGGATAAGTTTAACAACTACACTAATGCAACTATATTATCAAGCCAACTTGATACATCACCAAGGTAAATGAATTGACAATAATCCTCCTATTTAGTCTTGGATGAAGCGTTGGAGGTTTCCTAATCTCCCTAGGTCCTATAGAACAAGATTAATGATATCTTACATAATGATATTGATATCTCTAAACTTGTGATATATGTGTAATCTATGGTGCAAGATAATTTGCTATATGGTCATGCAATCAAACATAAATATCTGTCATTGCAAAAGTTTAATCTAATCATCTTCTTCTCTTAGCATTTTGTAGAGTTTAAAAAAATAGAGATAAATGATATTGAGTTAATTTATACGGGAAATAGTTGTCATGCGAATATATTTGATTGATGAATATTAGCGGAGTGACACACATTAATATGTTGTGTTTCCGTTATCGAATTCTCTCATGCCAGCAATCCCATAAAAATAAATTGAATAATAATGTAAACTTTTAACTCTTTGTAATAACATATATAGAAAATTAAAAAAAAAATTATGATCTCTCGCCTTAAATAGTTGACTGTTATTTTTTTAATAATTTTTTTAAATTATTGAAATGATTTTAGACTTATCTTTCAATGTGCATTAAATTTCATGAAGTGATAAAATATGGTAATAAATTACAATTTTCAATCTTGACAAAACTTTGTACAAATTTTGTCAAGGTCATTCATAAAACATGTTGAGTTCACAAAAGTAAACAAAAGTTCTGCTTCTCATATATAAAAATAATTGAATAATTAAATAAAAAAATTTTCCACATATTTGACATCTATCTCTATCTATTATTTGGTTACTTTGAAATTGTATTGTGATCAATATTATACATATATTTTTATGAAAATGTAAAATAGACCACACAAATTATTAAAACAACCACACTGAGATACTCTATAAGTAAAAACAACATTTACTACGCTTTTGAGGGCTTTTCAAAGTACATGATTGCCCTCCTCGCATCCGGCAGCTTCCTTGGCATCCACACCAGCCGAATCTTACCTGATCCTGGCGCAAACAAGACTGATAGTTTGTGCTATTGCATCACTCCCATGTAACTCTACAAATATGGCACGCATGAAACCGAGACGGTGAGACAGAATGCGAGAACTTGGAGCATTCAGACTAAGAATGTCCCTGCATACGATCTCCACACCCGTCAGCCTCTACCAGGCCCTCAAGAGCTCCCTAATCTCCCAAAGAAGTTGTGATAGTTTGTGGTCGTTTTAACATTCCCCTATTTTCATTTCTGTAAATATAATTTCAATAGAATTGAAAAGATTGTAAAAAAGTATTTATCCTTTCAGATCGCAAATAGAAATTTAATTGAATTAATTAACATTTATTATATCAAAAATTGACTAGGGAGTACAGAAAAAATATCTTTTATTAATTATGAAAATATTGTAGAAATTGTTGAGATTAACTCTGGTTAAGGAGTAATCTCAAGACCAAGCTATACTTAGCTAGGACGTTCGTCTACACTAGAGTTAAATACCCGGCTTCTACTAGGGTTAAATACCTGACTTCTACTGTACATGAAGTGAGTCTTGTCTGAGAAAGTAAAGTGTAGCGTTTTCTTGGTGGTCGTAGCCCCTTGGAAGGGAAGAACCACGTTACATCTTCAGTGTTTTCTGTCATTTGCGTGTTTTCACGTTACAGAAATTACATATTAAGTAGAGTAAGATCTAATATTTTTTACTTTAAGATCATTCAGAAAAGTAACGATTCGACCCTCACAGCCCCTATGGCTTTCAGGAGTTATTAGAGAACCATCTCCTTAACCAGCCAAATAAGCATCAAGCTTATCACCTGGTGTCTAATATTTGCCCTAACTAGATTCTTCTGGAGATTCTTGTACTATTTCTTTAAGCTGGCCTTTGAACCCGCCAAGGCTACGGGACTCTGGTGGTATAACCCGGTCGGCCACATAAGTAATAAGTCGGCGACTCAACTCAGCATAACATTCCCTTGGGGAAGATATACCCTTGAACATATTTGATTCTATTTGATTGTAAAACGATTGATTCTCATATTTATATTTCAATTTTTTTATAAGAAATTTTTGCTTGAATGCCCCAAAATAGACACAGTTTTTGAACCCTATAGTGGAACACCATTCAGGGTTCCGGGACACAAACGGATTTCCGTCTTTGGATGACTTTTCGTCCGTTAAGTCTCATGCATGTGTATTATTATATAATTTTGGAAAAAAAATAATAAATCTTGTAATCTTTAGACAATAGTATTGATATCAATGAGAACAACATTCACATATCCTATGCTTATCGTTTTATTTTCATCTGTTCAGATTAAACTTATTTAGTCTAAATTTATGTACTGCTCACATCCCACCTAAAGTACTTGTATTTTGTGTCTACTAACTCTGCATGCATAGCCTCTTGGCTGGGTTTAAATGCTTTGATTCTTTTGTGCTTTTTATACAGTTTCGCTTCTATTCCCACTATGTCTTCTTTCAGTCATGATCCAATATTTAATTTTCCTATTTTTTGCCATAGTATATTATTCTCACCTCGGACTTAGTCCATGTCATCCAAGGCAAATCTTTACTGGGACTCACATATTGTGCAAGATTCTCTGATTCTCGAAATGGTTTTCCAATAACATCCTCAACCATCACTTTCATGTGAGATAAATGTGTTCGGTTTTAATACGAATCTGTAAAATTAAAGTTTCAACTAAAAAGAGGAGTTTCCAAGTCAAGACCACTCAAATCTACATGCATAAATCTAAATGCTTTTGATCAGATTTAGCTCTCAATAAGAAGAATGTTTAAATTATACACTAAACTGTTCCTGCGATAGGAATCAGTCTTATGGTCTCCAGACTTCCGAGCACAGGGCTTCAGGAATCCAAAACCAGGAATTTATTTGCCTAATACAATTACAGAGTCGAGGCTTACAAGCGTGCTTGCGCATGGTTTGTTGTTTCTGGTGCCAAACGAACGACCACCTGCAGGAAACATTTCAAGGATCAGTCTGACAAGAAATTGTGACTCCACAATGCAATTATTAGTTGTTGTGAATCGAAGAAAGCATCGACACCATAATATGTATGTCATCCACATAAATCACAATACTAATACAATACCATTGAATGAGCCCACGAAGACTGTATAAGCGGACGTGTTAGCACGGTAAATTATTATTGTCTGACTCAGAGACGAATATCTGTAGAGCTAAAGATGACCGGTTGGCCAGTTTATGCGTCTACAGACAGTTAATCTCTCAGACGACACAGGAAGCGGTTGACTTTAACAGAGTTTGTCTTCACCTTTTTAGCTCTCGATTTATGCTTCAAAAAGGTACAAGGAAAAGAGATGGTACATTATTTGTTGGACAATTATTCAGTACCTTTCCTAAACTCTGTCCCGAATGTAGGTGCTCAACTGCATCAGCTATTGCCTCCACTCCTGCGAAGAGCTTCGAATCAACAGTCACCTGTCCCCATACACAAAACCAGATCAGACGGCACTTGACACACTACCAGTCAGAAATTTAAACTAGCTATGCGCAAGATCGCAACGTCTTGCAGCAACAAAGCACCCATCTATACTGGCAGCTGACTTGAAGCATGAAATCCAACCTTGAGTTTCTTATCAAGGTAGAGTTTTGTCAACCGAGCTGCGTGGTCTCGCCACATTCGTGTGTAGTCATTCAGGAAGAACCCCACCTACATCATTGGCAAAGATTTCTTCATACAAGCAGCAAAAGAACATGCCTTACGTGACGAAATCAGCACAAAGGCGCTTCAAAGTTCACGCCAAATGTCGGCTCATGTCATTTCATGAAAGCGTTAGTCTAAGATCTAATTTACCAGTAAAATAAAACAGGTAAAAAGCTACACATAACGAACAAAATGAATGAGCACGATTGTATCATGGTGATTATTAGTTGATATATCTACGTAGGAAAGGGAGTGAGAGAAGAGCGTAACAACGGAATCAACTCATGGCATGAGAGAGATCATGTCGAAAGTAAAATTAAAAGCTGAGTGCAAGCATGACCCAAATCCAAGATAAGCATGATTGTCTAAAAACTTAAAATGGCGTTTCCGATGAGGCTAACAATGATTACTCTTGCACAATGTGCAGCAGCGACTAGTCAGTCTGAAGATGTCTACAGTAAGTGGAGGAAGTTTCAGCAGCTGTATACGATGATTTCAAAAGTAATATTATGTTGGCACAAGTTGTCAACATCAGGAAGCTACAAAGTGAAAATCAAAGCTTTACGCAACACGAGGAATGGCTTTGACAGGTACCACGGACTGCGATTTGGCCAAAATTTTCTCCGCGAGACCTGGATAGTTCCCTGGTTGCCACCCGTTCTCTCCTTGATACTGTAGAAAATCACGATCAGTCTCAACATATGAAATATGAATCTACGGCTACTCTTTCTTATCGATTAAAGGACATCCAATATTTCAAAGTAAGTACTGCTCAAAAGCTACAAGTTACAGCGCTTCTGCTCAAGGCTCTGTTTCTCAAAACAAAATATCTGCTAAAAACTACTTCTTTTTAAACTCTTGCTCCCACTTCAATGCAGATTACTTGTTTCGATTATAGACTCTCATGTCTATATAATCTCCAACTAAGATACCTCTGTATCATAACCGCAAGTTATTGACCAACAGAAGATTGACAATATTATGAGTCATCAGAGAAGTTCGGCATAATATAACCTGGGATATCATTCCAATGACTATGAGACGACCCCTTCGGGCAAGAGCATTTAAGCACGTTGTAAACATTTCTCCTCCCACCGACTCATAAATCAGATCTATTCCATTGGGGAATTCCTTCTTCAGAACCTGCATGATAATACCCAACAAAACAACAATAGTTAACAGACAAACCCAACTTTTATTAGCACATGTAAAGTTCCACGCCACATAGCACCCGCCAGGTTCCGTTCATGGAATCATCTACGGAAAATGTCCAAGAACGTGTCTTCTTTGAAACTTAAAAGCCTCGTTCATTACGGTTTCAACACCACCCCTGCGAGCTACTATAAAAGAAATCTTCCAAAATTCCCTAATTCCTGTTCGAATGAAAGATCGTACAGTGCTCACTTGTCAGTATCAGATATAGACAAGCAATGAAGGAGTATTACCGCTTTTATGCTTTCTTTCTTGTAGTCTATGACTCGGTCAACACCAAGACTCCTCAGAAACTTCGCTTTTTCTTCTCCACCGCACGTGGCTATCACTGTGTTTCCTGCTAATTTTGCAAGCTGCAGTTACAAGAACATTTGTGTGAACTTCAAGTATTATATCACCGAGCACATGTACTAACCACAACGTACCAGTCTCCATTTGTATTCCTGTAAACTGTGATAGGGTCACCAAAAGTTGAACAGAAGAAGAATATGTACCTGTACGGCGAATTGGCCTGTTCCTCCAGCCGCAGCAGTCACTAGGACGGTCTCTCCAGACTTGATTCTTCCAGCCTGACCATATGATTAAACTCAGTTGGTGTTAGGTTTCCTTCGCATGTACGTTACACAGAACAAGGGTGCATTTCCGTGTAATGAAAATAACAGACCCTGCCAAATAAGAAAAGCGCTTGTCTGAACAAGGTAATAACAGTTAAGGTCTACCCACCACCCTACTGACCCATTCAAAGACAAAGAAAATAGGAGCAGAGTAGACTACATATCTTAGCGTGTCAATAGTTCTAGATAAATTTGGTTATATATTCACCTGCTCTAAAGCTAAGGAAGCTGTGAGTCCCGAGGTGAGAAGAGCAACTAATTCGGGAACTGCTACAGGCATCGGTATGACGTTTTTGAAGGGAACCTGCACAAACAAGGTCTTTGTTAGTTCGCTACCAAGCTCATTTCAGAGCGCAACTGCGCCTAAGACAAAGTCGTAGTCACTTGACGAAGAGGAGACAGAGGGTGAGCAATTCCACACATAACGTACATTACCTGACAGTATACTTCTGTCAGATGGTATTATGTTGAGGGGCAGCACTGCGCCTTCAGTGTTGATTGTACAACACTTTTATACAATAAAACAAAACTGTTCTATCCTAACTCTACACTGCAAATTACTTGCCCTGAATTCAAATCACAATTCTCGTCACGTACTTTTGAACCGACTTTTTGGCCGACATACACCCTGAGTCATAAACAAAATGTGCAACCACTACGCCTGACCTGGCAAAACTCCGAGAATCCTCCATAAGTCAGGGTTGCAACTGGTGATCCCGGCACCAAAATATTGCTGTCCACTCCTTCACCTAAACTTGCAACAACACCAACAGCCTGTAGACGAGGTTACAAACCTGCAATGATGGACACTCACAACTGAAAACGTAACGGAAACTGCTTTTAAAAAATCATTTGACTTCTTTTTTTGTACGAAAATATATTTCCCCATGGTCAATACAATCAATAAACTCAGAGTGCTCTACCTCAAATCCTGCATCAAAGGGTAACTTTGCCTTTCCTCCGAAATATCGTCCTGAACTGAAATTGACCTGATAGAATGAATGACCAACGGGAAAAGGCCGTATGATACACACATTTGACGAGTATGAAGAAGGATGAAATAAGTCGTCGTTCTTTCTTTCAAGAAAACTTTCGATTGCGCTAATGGTTGCTTAACCTTACATTATGAAACGAGAATAAAAACAATGGAAGGACCTCTGGTCATAGGCTCCAAGTAAAGTAATGAAGACATAAATCGACGTGCAAAATGATAACCAAACTTTGTACCTGTTTGTCAGACAAAATGATGGGGATGGGCAAAATAATGGGATGTACTTACGTCACTGGCATTTACCCCTGCATACAAATTCTTGACCAGCACATGGCCAGGCTTCAACGGTAGTTCTAAAGGCACCGTCACAATTTTGCTTGCTGTTCTGAAGTCACTGCTCAACTTGTGAATAATCCTGCAATGTGGCACATAGTCAGGCCGACATCAATACGTGCATTCAGCATATCCTACGACTATAAAAGGCAAGTTCTTGTACAAAAAGGGGTGGACTCGATATCACTTCAAATAAAATAACCGGGGTAAAAAACCATTGATTACGAAATCAAATAGAAAACTTACAACATCAGCAAGTTGGAGAATAACGAACAGTTAAAAGAGAGAACATACACTTTTTTGTACTCGTCTGGTATTGCGGGAGGGATGGGTTTTGAAAGTGGCCGGACGATACGTCGTGAGCGAGGGAGTTCGTATTTGGCTTTTTCTTCTGGTGTCGGCCAGTACTCGGCTCCTCTCCGGACAGTCAACCAAAGGGTGTCTCCAGCCTTACTTTCATCTTCAATAAGTTGCAAAGCACCTGATATCCAGATAAACAAGACAGAAATCCAATTGAAACCACAAGTTCAAAACGATATTGTGCACAACACGAAATTGAAGAACAGAACAGGTCTGGCTCTCAGCTATACCAACACGCATTCTCTATAGTAGTCTCTCTAATGAACTACCGAGCAGAAACCATTTAAAACACAAGCTGAAGATGCCATTGCATTGATAGAATGGTAGGTAACATTTGCAAACAATGGAAGATACAGCTCAAGTAGACTTCAGTCAATGGTTGTGTTATACGTCTCTAAACAAATTACTGACCGTGGAAACGTAAAAGACATAGCAAGAGCTGAAAACATGTTCGTGGTATTAGCACATTCTAATGACATCGAACCCACACTAGTTAAAACGAGTCCTTGTTCCTGTAAAAGCAACGTAACGTAAAGGCTACTCCGATGATGTGTGTTGGTATACCCTTCAATATGGCGTCCATCGGCAAGTAACCCCCAAGATTTGTAATTACACGAGGATTAACTAGTTTCGCCAGAGCAGTATCAACAAACTACAAGCACAGAACACTTTAGTCAGGCCGTAGACCAACCTTGCATGACAACCTTATTCAAAATACAACCTTGCAAAGATGATAAACTGAAAGCATCGCAAAACGAAGAGTAGGGAAAACACCCTAGTCCAGTACAAAAGAGAGCGAAAATCTTTGAGCTTAGGTTTTAGGTTTATGCGTCATGAACAAAGCTGAAGTGCTTTTCTCAAAAATACAAACAGTTTTCCAATAACCTTTCAGGTTAACCAGCAGCAGAAAATAAAACTACGCCACCGCTTGCAACTGTGGAGGAAGTACCTCCGGACAAAGAGCGTTGACACGAATGCCCTCCCGTTTGAGGCCTCCCAATGATCTTGAAAACATAACAACTCCCGCTGTGTAGTTGTGCAATCCACATGTGAGACTAGGGGTATCGATCGGAGAAGCAATGATTTTACACGTCGGAAAAAGCTCTATTTACGAATTCATAAACATGTACGCATCCAGTTCCAGTTCTTCTAAATGATTGCTAGCCACAACTGTCACTTGACTCATTTCCCCGAGTCGAAAGATGATTGCAAAAGCGTATTAATCACAAGCACAACAATAGCTTCGGTACCTATTCGGAAATATAGGGGGGTTGGCATTATGCTTTTTATCACATGGGTGTATCAAGACTCAACATTCCGCTGACATTCTTACTAAGTGAGTACCTTTAGATGCGCTATATATGGGCATCGCAATGGAAGGATAAAGTCCCGCAGCCGATGCCACATTTATGATGACTCCTGGTTGCTTAGTCCTTCTCATCGTTTGTACCTGAAAAGCGAAAGTGAGGACGTAACCTGTTTCTGTGTTAAGTGTTCGCAACTTGATTGTCATGGTCGTATCTCCTGTTCCGCTAGCAATCTTAGCAACTCGCGTTGAGATGTTCAAGCAAGTGACTGCACCGAACGTTAAGATGAATCATATTTGTAAAGTTGAAAGTACTCTCCAATGGTTGGAACTTTCATATACCTCGCCTTCCTCCTTTCAAAACTATGAGCTTACAGGATTTGAAATTGCAGCCATGAACGGACTAGTGGACTCTGAGCTTGACAAAGTCAAAAATAGGAATAGGAGTATCCATCATAGCCACAACTTACTGCAAGTCGTGTTCCATCGATAACAGCAGACAAGTTCACATCCATAGTTCTGCGCCATTTCCCCTTCCCATCGCTAGACAGGTCAGCATCGAAGTTTTGATCTTCCCCGATTCCGGCATTGTTTACACAAACGTCGAGCCGTCCATATGTTTGCTCATGTAGCTCAAATGCTCTAAAAAGTTGCTCTGTTGGAAGCAGAAGTACCATGTACATTAAACATGTGGTGAGCTTTGCGGGTTCAACTGGATTAATTAGACCAAAGCTAGTCAAGTAGCCTTCTCAGGATTCCTTAGCCACCACAAAAACTCATGACAGCGTCTTATGATGGAACCAGTAACCATTTCTCATGCGATATGAAGTGAGACAATCGTCAAAGTATAGCGTCAAAGCTCGTACCGCATTGTCATGAGCTTCCAAATAAAAAAAAAACCGATAGCTTCATTTGCTACTCTGACATAGTAAGAAGTAATGTATCCACTAGGCCCACCTCCTGCGAGCCGGACACGACGAGATCCCTTGTCTAGACCAATGCACTCAAACATCTATGTGCCACTTGAAACTATTTGACGATTTATCTCCTCGAAAGCACTCACTAAGATAGAGTAATAACCTCGACATTAACAAGCATACCAATGTTCAGTTTAGTAATGAACAACACCTGGAACGGTGACATCGCATTTGATGAAGATAGCAGACGGTGCCCGCGGCTTTTTCAGAAGCTTGGCGTGTTCCACTTCAATCAGGCGAACGGTCTCTAGACCATCAGCCTCAGAATACTCGACCACCGTCACTGTCGCACCCTTACTGGCTAGACTCAAGGATAGACCTCGTCCTGCAAGTGGGTTGCTCAGTATCTGGTAGAATAGCATGTGTAGAATATCTACCGCAAGTGTCCCGGTGTGTTATACAGATTTGCAACTAAACTGAGATTGTCAAACACACTAATCGAATGAGGAGAAGAAATGAAGATATACTGCAATTTGTTTTTAGTTTACCCACAATGTGAGGTGAAAGTGATTCAGATTTGACATAATATATTCTCTCAACGATATCTTACTAACTTGTGTTCGGGTTTGACATTAGTCAAGTATCTCTTGCCTAGTTCAACCTCAGGGGAGAAGATAATTACTCACCAATGCCATTGCCTGCACCAGTCACTAAAGTTGCTGTACCGTTTCCCAAAACCATGGTTACAAGTCCTCCTTCAGTTCTCTATGATAGGCGATGAAGGAAGTTACCGTAAGGCAACAGACTCCAGTTATCGACTGGATGAGCTGAGGCCTGAAACTCTTCTAGGTCACACAAACGTAAATTGAAATTCAGTACTCAGCGAAAGACTAGAAAAGCGACAATCTTTTCAGTTCCGCTCCTACCGAAACCTTTAACGATCCGTTATATATGTTATTATCCCAGATATACAATCGAAGTGGAACCAAGGAAAGGGCCACTCAGCTTTGATTTGCGAAGGAAACAGAGTGTGATGTGCAAAGGGCTTAAGCAACTGGCGAAGAGAACCGGGCTTAAACGATCCAATGTTAGACAAGCGAATGTCATTTTATTCAAGCTAAACAACTCATTCAGCCGAAGAAGACATTACGTAACACGGAGGAAGAAATAAAAGACAGACGAAAGTGTATTTAAATTCATCAGCAATTACCGGAATATGTGGAAATTATGTCAGAGACACCCCACTATCAAATATTTCCAAATATTTCACGATTATTCCTCGACCTTGATAAAAAATTTCAACCCAGTCAAAGATGCAATTCTCTGTGAGGGTTGAGGCAGGGTTTCAGCTTTGGATGATGTCCCTAAGTCCATGGAATACTGCACAGGATACGGGAAAATTGATACCAAAGATCTCTGTTTCCAGCTTTCCTCGCTCAGCACTACCTGGACGACGTCAATGATTGTGCTATCTATTTGCTATTCTAGAAGACAGATACCCTGCAGGTAAGTGAAGAAGAGGAACCGAAGAGCAAGTGATCATAGAGCCTACTGTCTCAGCACTATTGACACATTTTTTTGCGCATTGTCTTCGCTTACAGCTGAGGCTCAACATGACGAAACATTGGGTAACTTGACTGATAACTTCGAAAAACACTTTCAAACACAGTTTCGCTTGAGCGGGACAATAATTGAAGAAGAAAGGTGTTTCTCATCATCTTAGAGAAACGACATCAGTCCGGATCTATATACTGATAAAGGAACAGATTAAGTACCACTGGCGATGAAATACTCAAGTGACAAGATAGAGAAGGTATCTTCGGAAAATTCGAAGAAAAATCACGTAACAAGACCACTAGCTTTGCTTCTGACTCAAACTACTAATTTAATTAAAGCGTCGAGCTGAAGGCGACTGAATGCATGGACTACATATTTCACACAAAATTCTGCTAAAACTTCAGTAATCAACCATTCCCGAATCACGGAAGTTCTGTGTGTCTATGTCAACCAATTCTCCAAAACAAATCATCTTCCCATCACTTGCCATCAACTGTGATATAAAATCGCGCCTTCAGTGCAAACATCAGAACAAAACACAGTGAACTTGACAGGGTCGACAAAGCATACGTGTGAGCGCAATTCAAAGCCCTGAATCGTGCAGCACTCGTCCCCTCAACACTAAAGCCAACTGGCCGAGAGACAGAGAGAGCAAACTGAATCTTTTCTCCGAATCAGGCGATGGGCGATCCTCAACGACGGATTTATCGCACAACGAAACGACACGACAACCAGAACTCACCTTCGATTCGTACTCGGCAGATGAAGGAGGAAAGGTGCCCGCCGGAGCAGTAGACAGCACGGAAGTCGCATACGTACAGGCAGTGGTGGTCTCGAATCAGCCAATCTTCGGATCTGCTCGTCTACTCTGCCCAAATTCCCGAAGATTTCGTCGTCCTTGTCTCCTTCGCCCGCCAGCTCCTCATTTGGCCTCCCGCTTCCCATGGCTCGACCTTTCCACGTCGGACAGACCCGCGGGTCCAGAGTCCACCGCGTGCGACCACTTGTAAACCGACTTCTGCCTGTTGTCAATTCCTCCGTACAATAGTAGACCCTTATTAAATCGATATTGGTTTTATTCTGGTGTGTTTTTTTTCCTGCTCCTATGACGACGAATGATGCTTATCTAGAATGAAAGACGATAATGGGCCCGGAAAGAAGCGAGAGTTATGGGAGTCGTTCGTTTGATGTCAGGTCTTCACACTCGATAAGTTTTATGTTATTATTATTTCGTCACTGCTTTTTCTCGAATTTAGCTCGCTTCTTAACCTTCACTCGAATTCAACCTTCAACCTTAATTCCAGAGAATCGAAGAATATTGACTTTTGGTTTCATCCACGTGCGTTGATGGGTCTTCCATCGTCCTTATTATTACCAAACAAAGTTAACTATTATTCGGTTTTCCACAAAAAGTTTGTGACAGTCACCCAAACTTTTTATGATCCAAATTCAGAATATAATAATCCGGCATGGCATGTTTCATGTACAACGTACCAATATCATAGAGTAGCTAATACCTATTATATATTAGTTATATATTAGCTCTTTATTGCATTTTGTCATGATAATTGTTCTTTTTTTACTTTTGGCAACCTATAAACATATGATTTTATATTTAAACCTGCAAAACTTTATGATCAATTGAAATATATCAATTAATATGTCATTAAATCTAAGTTTCCATTGCAATGTTTGAGGTGAAAATCTTTCTCCAATGTCTCTTACATTAGTTGCTAGTATGAAACAAACAATCATAAGGAAAAATATACATCATAGTCAACTCACAATACAAATATTTAGCATTGTTGATATCACATCTACTCTAAAGTAATAATATCATCACAAATCAAAATTTATTGCACTCAAAAAGTTTCAACCAATCCAAAATCTATTTGATAAACCTAACTTGCTTACAACACAACAAACAATCTCCAACATTGTTCGATTAAGTCTCTTAACTTTTTTTCTGATTATAAATTGGAACAAAAATATGAATTTACTCTATGCATTAACTTTATTTAACACATCATAATCTTGAAAATACAATCTTGTTAGCTCACATATTTTAATATTGAGATATCTTTGAAATTGGAACTAAATATAAAAAATTTAAGATAATTTTTATTTCATAAATATGATCATTAATAAATCATATTTAGTTTTGAATTATATAATTAGAATAAAAATTGAAATCATTGTGGTGGTTTAAATCATAAATCAACAAAGCACTTAAAACATCATTGGGTATGAAATGTTTTTACAACATGATGAAACAACATATGGTATCGATTGATATGAAGCAAATTATGAATTAAAAGCTTTAAAAACTTACTCTCATTATTTATTTAGTTTTTCAAAATTTAATATATCAATCAAAAAATGTCTATGATAAATGGTAATAGACCAAGCCCAATTGACCCAAATGATCAAAAGGTTGAAAAACGCAAGCAAAAACCACAAAGAAGGGAAAAGACCTCAAAGTGGATCCCTAGCTAGTGCCAAGAGCATTAGAACGGTAACTAATAATGAATAAATATATGAACGGTAACTATATGAATTACAAAATCATATATAAAGCCATCATCATGATCTTGAATATTTGTGTCAAATTTTTTTATGTTAAATTTCATTTTTTACATGAAATTATGTAATCTTTTAAACTCATTTAATATTAAAAAAATTAAATTATAAAATAAATTATAAAATAAATTATAAAATAAATTAAAGTTTTAAATTTAAGATTAAATTATTTGATTATATGAAAATACATATTTAAAATTTCAAAAAAATAAAAACTAAATATGAAAAAAACTTATCACGTAAAATAAAAAAATTCTCAAGTAGTGACAAAGAGACCAAAAATCAAAATTGGATTTGTAAGCTAAACCACAAAACATTTTCAACGAGATATGATTATGTTTAAGATTATGGATAAGTTCTCGTCTACTTAGTAGTCACAATCGATAACCGATCAAGCAAATCCTAATCAATTAACATACCGTGAGCTACAATTTAACAATCTTTCTTTTAATTCATGTCGAGGGTACAATAATATTCATCATCTATACAATTACTTTGAGAGAATTTTGACAAGAAAATTTAACAAATTACATTCTTTAAACTAGAGCTAAGTTGTTGTAACACTAGGGTTTAGAGAGAAGTTTACTCGAAGATGAAAACATAAACTGTGAAAATGAGAGATGCCAACAATGTTTCTATTTTCCCTTATATAGCTTAATAAGTACAAGGAGATATGATCTTATATCTACCATTCATTCGACTCTTAGTGGATGGATGACATGGCGGTTAATCCTAACAAGTACATAGATTGCTGACGTGGTGCTCCCAACTAAAACACTCAATCTTTACATAACAAGCACAAGGATTGTTGATATGGCGTTGTCAACTAACACATTTACTATCTACCTATCAAACACGAAGATCAATGACATGACAGCTATGACTAGTGCGCATTATAGTAATTATATAAACATGAGTAACCTCTACTTTAGTTCTAACTAACTAAATATGCTTACAGTCGTAAGCATTATTTAGTTAAGCATTATCAACCTTAAATCACATTCAGAGCCAAATAAGAAGAAGAGAGTATGGAGTAGATGACATCATCTTATGTTGTAAGTCATCAATAGAATTTTACAAATAAGTAAGTTGTAAGTGATTGTTTGACTATCACAATAAAGCAAGACACGCAACAACAACTAATATGAAAAAATCAATGAATCCAAAAGATGAAGAACTTTCCTCTCATTTGCTTTTCATGAAGTTCAACGATAAGATCATCAAATGCATCGATATGATCTTAGATTTTTGTGCTAAAATCTTTTATACTGAAAATCATAAGCTTCAATAAGACATACAATTTGTTTGTTAGCTCTTTATGATTTAATCTTTGATCAAATTTAGTATATTTTTCATACAAATCCAGTTTTTTTTAATAAAAAATTACAAATGAAATATGACAATATTCAAAGTATATATATAGATGTCTCAGTAGTAATTGTTGTAGATGAATGAATTATGACTCAACATTTTGCTACTTTTTGAATTTCAACTTGCACTTCACTTGTTTTTTTCAAAGCAAGTAGTCATCAAGCCGTGGTGTTTGACTATATCATATATAGTTATTTCAAGCTTCATAGCCATCATCTTGTTCCGCCAAACATTCAAAGCTGTACTTTGAACCATTAGAGTGAAAAATCTTCTCTTTAACTCATTTACTCCTCTTTTAGACTATCGATAATCACAATCCGCTTGTCTATTATCTTGAATGTATCATTTTTTGTATTGTATTGTTTGTTCAAACAATTGTGGTGGATGATCGTCTTTGTCTGTTATGTTATGTTGTGTTATTTTACCAAATGGACATAGTCACGATCTATTCGTCTAAACCTAAAAAAGCTTGCCACTTGACTTTGCATCAAAATCTCCTTCTCCTTATCTCTCGTCAGTTGAACTATATCACTTTATCATTTTTAAGCAAAAAATGCTTGAAGATGTCAACTAGCAATTTGAAGAGTACTACTATTGTCAAATTTTGTTGTCTCAAAAAAATATAAGATTTTAGAAAGTTACAAGATTGACAAGAGAATCATGAAACACTTATGCTAACATTTGTGATCGTCGTTTTTACTCAATATGTGCATCATTGAGCTCTCCTTCCAACAGATTGAAACTGTCAACGATGTCACAAACATTCATCTTAGTCATGTATATTTCACGACAGTTATGAACTTTTCACACGTTTGGCAAGCCCAACCATCTACTAGACAAAATGCATGTACTTTCAATTGTTCTATAGTTTCTTTTTCCTTGCCACATAAATAATATATTTTCTTTTTCACAAGAAAAAAACTCTTGCAAGCAAAATTTCATTATCTCGACAAACTCAACTTAGCATTATTGCGATGGGCTAACATCAACTTTCCTTAATCGTTGCATCGCAAGCACATGCATAACTCTTAAGTTATGTCATCTTAACCTATGTCATATCTTTTCATTTATCCCTCAACTCATTGATCTCTTGGCTTAGTTAAGCATTCTCTCTTGCATTAAACTATTGCAATTCAATTGGTACTCACTTGTCTTGTCGCGAACGTCACATAATCTTTAATGAAAGCTTCATCAATTCTCCACATCCTAGCTCTCACGTCATCTGCCTATGAATTTCTACTCTTCTACTTCAAGGAGAAAAACATAACGTTCTAACATAGTCACAAATTCAGACCGCAACATAATGGATGTAATCTAGGATACTCGCATGGATGAGAAATGAATACATATGCTCAATGTCCAAACTCAGAAGCAATAAGAGAGAGAGTAAATACAAAAACTACAATAGAAATGAGTATATGCTTGCTAGATAAGATAGTAGTTGGTGATAGTTGTTGTTTAATCTTATTGAAACACTCCAACTAACCTAGACTTCTTATGATAACAACATTTACAATTTTTGGTTTTGAAATTGATGTGTTTCATGGACATAGATTTTTTGTGATGAATTATGTATTATTATGTTGATTTTGCTATAAATTATTACCAAGATGAAGATCTATCACACTAAATATTTTTTTATTAATAAGATACTAATTGTGATTATTCCTTTCATTAATCAAAGTAAAAGATAAGACAAAGGTGCATATAATTAATTTTGTCTTATCTTCGCACAATTATACCGGCTAAATATCAATCAAGATTTGAAAAAGAATCCAAGAATAATATTTAAATAATAAGAAATCATAATTAATGGATGATTAAAATTTAAATGGTAAAAAATTCAATGAATTGAAATAATTGTATCATTACATAGATCAGAAAAAATATCAGATTAACTCAGATTTATTAGAAAAGCAATAAGCTATTCTTTTGATATATCATATCAAAAGTGTAAAAAAATCATAATTAATTTATGAATTTTAGCCTTGTGCGATACGGCTTAATATCATGCATAAAGGATAGCTTCAAACATCACATTACATGGTCAAATAATCTTTCAAAGTGTCCAGTGGTGGTTATTAGTGACCTTCATTTTATTCTGAAATATGAACCCTATAACCTACATATTATAAAATGTTTGGGAAAAAAACATGTGGTAAATCTCTTCGTGTCATAGAATCAGTTGTACATTAAGACTAAGGATTACATATGCTTCATCCGGATATTCAAAGTTCATCGGCATTTTTTTCCTTAACTTTACATAATTGATGGCTCATTCCTAACGAGAAAGTATATAACTACAGATTTTTTCAGCAACTATTATTTTGACATGCAGGTGTTACACCGAACCAATACTGCATTGGCAGACCGGGAACCTGCGGGCGGAATTATTTGCTGGAGAGGGTGAAACGCATACCACGATGGGCACTTGTTATGAGAAACGGGGAAGAAACGGCGTTCGATGTGTTGAAAAAGCGTCGAGAGTACAGTACTGGATCCCGGACGCGCGGGAATCGAAACGAAGTACCCCCGAATCCTGGGAACAGGTGCGAAGAACCCGAGCGCGCACGACCCACTCCTGAAGATCTTGCCGCCGAAATATTCTCACCCCTCGAGAAGATGTCGTCAGATTGTCCTGGCCCGATCCGGAGGTGAGCTCGTCCCGCTGGACTCTCATCGAAGAATCGTCCTTGCGCGATCGGACTCTGTCGTGGCAGCTGGAGGTCGCAAAATGCCCAACAGAATGGGCTGATACGCAATACGTCGAGGTCCCATCCACCTCACCGAACTCACCGGCGTCCTTGCACATTGACGTGTTCTCGAAGAGGACTGAAGGGACTGCCGGACGAGGTCGGATGTCGTGGGGGTCTGAGACCTTGAGCGCTTTGCGTTTCAGCCTCCGACGGGGTTCGGTGTTCGTTCTCGGCTGAGTGGGACGAGGGGCCGTCGGGTCGTCTGCGGCTGGGCACCCGAAGCCATGACGTCCTCTCTGGAGCCGCAGTCTCTCGGTAAGGATCGGGAAATTTGGTGGGCTTTAGCAATTTCAGCAAGGTCGGAAAAATGCGGGTGGTGTGAGTTTCCCGTTGATTTTCGTGCTTTGCAAATGGTAGCTAGAAATGGCGGACGTTTGTTCGGACAGACCAGTCGCACACCGCCATCCCTTTCGGTCTTCATCTTGGAATTCGAATTTATTATTGTACAGATTCGTTGCCTGTGGCCATTGCCTCGCAAGAAGCTGCTGTGATCTGAGTAGAACGAGGTGATTCGATGCAGTTTCAAGCATGATCGTCGACCTCTCTTGATCTCGTACGTGTGCGTGCGTGCGCATTGATACTGCCGACATACCGTGCAGCCTCACCTCGAGCTCAAGCATTGGATTAGTGGAAACTGCAAAGTTGAAATCGATTCCACATCACCACTGATTGTCATCTGAAATTTGAGCCAAATTCGAACCAAATTCTTACCAATTTCGATTGCTTGTTTCAGCTGAGGTCCCCGTGCGGACAGTGCCTTTGAAGTTGAAATTGATCTCCGCCGCGCAAGGTGTGCTCCTCAGTCTGTTCTACAAGAAGGATCGAGTGGTAAACCGGACCTTGATCAACCTCCTCTCCAAGACGGAGAAGGCCTCTGCGACCCCCGTCGATGGCGTGTCGTCCAAGGACATCACCATCGACGAGGTAACCAAGCAGTACGTCAGAATTTTCGCACCCGCTCAACAAGAACCCAAAAAGCTGCCGCTGATCGTCTACTTTCACGGTGGGGGATTCGCCGCGAACGGCCCCGATATTGACTTCTTCTGCAGCTTGTGTCGAGCAGTCGTGAGAGCTGCCAATGCCGTGCTCGTGAGCGTGAGCTATCGGCATGCGCCGGAGTTCCCATACCCCACAGCTTACGACGACTGCTTCGGGGCCTTGAGGTGGCTGCAGTCGGATTGTCAGAGTGGCGGCCTGTCGTCAGCAGTTGATCCCTCTCAGTGCTTCCTTTTGGGGGACAGCGCCGGTGGCAACATAGCGCACCACATGATGATCAAGGCGGGGCAGAACAACTTGGGCCCTCTGCAAATCAAGGGAGTCATTCTGATCATGCCTTTCTTCGGAGGAGCCGAGCGAACTCCATTCGAGATTAAAACACCCAACGCGCTCATAATTCCTCTGTGGACGATGGATTGGTTCTGGGATGCATTTCTTCCCCTGGGCTCTGATAGAGATCACGAAGCTTGCAACGTGTTCGGCCCCAATGCCGAAGACATTTCGGGGTTGACCCTGCCTCCGATTCTGGTCACAATTGGCTCCTTGGACTGCCTCCAGGACTGGCAGGTACGCTATGTGGAGAAATTGAAAGCCATGGGCAAGCAGGTGCAAGTCAAGTACACCAACTTCGCCCACGGGGAGTACGTCTTCGACGAGCCGTCGAAGAAAATAGCAGCCGATGCAGCGCAATTCATGAAATCTCTGACTTCTTAGTCTGTGACATCTATCTGATCTTGGAAGTCATGCTGGTGGTTGCATTTGATCACAGGATTAGTATGTCGATTGAAGCTGGAAACTGGCTTAAGACGAGACACCAACCGCGCAGAGAAGAAGATAAGACTTCAGAGGCGATGTCGCTGTACGGACGTCTTCATGTGTTTCTGTGCTCATTTAGGTACGTGAGCTTATTCGCGAGGAAGCTTAGACTTAATTCTGTGTGATGCTGAACTTCTGGTCTGCCGAGGATTAATGGATCATCCTAGAGTGCTGCTCGTTGAAAAGGATGGACGAAGACAAACCTACGTGTGAAATCCTGAAAGCTGCTCCCGGTTTTGGCCGACAGGGTATTGCCAAACCTTTTGAAGTGTTCCACTGAGTTGGGAGGATGTATATCCTGATTCAAGACGATTGTTTGGTCCACGATATGCATACGCATATCTAAATCATTGTCATCGTCTCCTTTCGGTCCCGTCACCCTTCATACACCTTGTATTTTGAATATGCTTGTCATATGTCATATTCATTCCTTTGTCACCCTGTAACACTGTGATCTTATTTTCTGTCAAACCTGTGACGAGCATCCAAGAGGGTTCTGAGGAGCTGAGGGCTTTCTGGTTTTTTGCTTTCTTATTCATTTACTACAAACAGGGGAGACCTGATTAGGAAAGGTTGAAGGAAGACGAGACATAAGGGGCACGGGGGGTAATTCTGGCGGGCTCCTGCAGTGCCCTTTTTTCTTGCCAACTCTGTGGCAGCTACGCTGAGAAGGAGGTCGATACTTTAGATATTACATTGCTGGGTCATTAGGCGCATTAAGTTTTTCAAGGAATATCAGATTCTTGCGGCCTCTATCTTCAAGGGCGAGTGGTTAGATCGAGACACTCTGACATAGACAGTTTGTATACATCAAATTTCCAAACATGTATCTATACAAATCACACCATGTGATCAATATGTGAAAAAAAGTTTTTGTTGATCTGACTTTACATGTCGCATCTTGGTTGAGTTACATACCACGAAGGAGGAACACGCCGCCGAATTTGATCTGGATAATGACAGAAGATGAGAAGGGGTGATTGGTATGATTATCTCACCGTAGCTTTAACATATGCTGTTCGGATGGGACCGCAAGACCCCAGTCTCACGAGTTCACATAAGAAGTCCACGTTCCCAAGCTTTTGAGTGCTGTCTACACTTGATAAAAATGTTTCCACGACTTGTAATCGTAGTTTGTATTGTTTTTAGATCGAGTACGGAGGATGTATTTTGAAATGCGTCCTCCAGCACGGAGGATTTATTTCCAAAGGACATTATGTAACTAAATCCATCCTTCACCGCCTCTAGGTCTGCAGTGTCCGATTTCGTTTCTTGGTTCATAATGAGTACTTGTCATGCTCTTTCTAGATCCATAATAAAGAAAATACAATTAAGGAATAGACCTGTAGCATGAGCTGGCTGTCAAATAGAGTGCAAAGTGACGACACATGAGGGTTTTGATGTATTTCTGCGTGGTATATGAGATGGTGCTTGGAACTGGAATACGTCTCAATGTATACAGTACTGTAGTCTTCCCTTTAATCACTCAATTCAAAGGTTGCTCGGGCGGTATCTGCCTACTTAGTCGGTAGGGGCGTAGTACTTTTGATTTGCCATTCTCAAATCCATTAGGGTTCGCTACAGTGTGGAAGAAACCAAACGGGAAGTGTCTCTATGAGCGTCAGTCTCCACCCATTAGCTACTTGTGTTTCACATGAAGCTGGTAGATGATGACCACTTGGATTTCAAGTGTTAACATAGTAGATATTTAATTATTCTGTGTATTGAATATAAAGTTAACAACAAGATCATGAAAGTGGAGGATTGAGACTTGAACATTAAATTCAAACTTGTACTTTCGAAACTACTTTGTACTTTTTTATTCCAAAGAAAAACAAATAATCATAAAAACTTGAGAAACTAAATTTATCTATATTGAATTTTGTTCACCATTTTTCATTTTGTAACTCTAAGATAGAACAAAAGACAAGATTGAAAAAATTACTCAACCAAAATAGATCAGAAGGGAAGAGTTTCACCACATAAGAATTGGAATAGCAAACAAAGAGAGAAAATTGGAAATAGTATTAATGATTGAAAGAGTAGGTTGAAGGTTGACGAGATTGAGTTACAATGTCATGACACTTTCTATTTATACTACTAATGCATTATTAGTAAGCTCCAAGATTAGCAAAAATCATCATCTCTAAATTTAGAAAAGTTGACACAGTTTATGAAGTTTCAAAGTTGGCAACATCTCCTCACCGTCTCCGCTGTACTGTATGTCATATATGTGACATCACCTCCCCTTCAAGCAAAGAGTTCCATGACTTATTCTATCTATTTTATCAAACACTAAAAATTTATTACAAGAAATCCATGTAAGAGATATATGGCTTAGGTTTGATTTGATGCTGAGGTTGATTAAAACGTGTTGGATTCAAATATCGTTGGCACTGAGTTTTGTCAGGTATTAAGAATGAAATTAGAAATTATAGTACTTCATATATCTTGAAAAATAGATGCATCCATCAAAGTTGTGGTGGCCACGATCTTTGATTGAAGTTGCTCAAGCTTGGTAAGAGAAATCTTTTGTTGTTCGTAAGCTGCATCTACTTTCCAAGATACAAGATAAGCTTGTCCAACGAACGTCAAATTGGATTTGTTAAAAACCAAGGCAATACATGATGAATAAGTTGAAGCACAAAAGCAATATACTCCAATGGACTTGTTGTCAATTCAATATCTTGTCAAACATGAAGTATTCAGGGTACTTGTGACTTGTGTAAATCATTGTCGGATGTTGAGCTACTTTTGAAAAATGACCGCCACTCTTGAAACAAGTTGACAATGATGAAGAGTACCTTGTTGTGGATCTCATAATTGATCTCGCCAATTGTAAATTTTAGTAAAGTGAAACCTAATAAGATACGTCTTTGTCAAGTTGTGAAAGGAAAACTCAAACCAAAAGCATCAAAAGCATTTGTTTCTAAAAGAAATGGCTTCTAGAAGAGAATAAGTGTGAAATTAGACACGGTTGTAAACGTCTTTTTCAAATTTTAAATATATGATTTGCTTCCATTTTTCAATTGATCTTGTCTTTGCAAATCAACTAGATTAACAAAGTAGCAATTTTGGAATAATTCTGAATGAAGATTTGACAGAATTTGCAAAATCAAAGAAGCATAAAAAGTCTTTAACGATAGTTAGTTTTTTCCAATCAATGATTGTTCAAATTTTTTTTGGCTTAATGTATAGATGCTCTCTCGAAATGATGTAGATTAAAAACTTGACTTAGGGTTGATGACAAACAAAGTTTTTGAGCTTGATGTATAGTTCAGCATTGAGCAGCTTTACAATATCAATTAGACATGGTTGATGTGATCTTCTTCATTCTTGAAGCAAATCAATATGTTGTCTACATAACATACAACAAAATCTTTCAAAATTTCTTGGAATATGTTGTTCATCAAGTGTAGAATGATGGCAAGTGCATTGGTGCAAAACCAAAAGTTATGACATTGTATTGAAATGTTCATACCTAGTTTGGAATGCCGTCTTTCAATCGTCATCATACTTGATATGTAAGAGTTTGTACACTCTACAACAATCAATCTTGATTTGAATCTTTGCTTGATCAAAGTGATGAAATTTTTTTTAAATAAACATCAATAGATATAGATTTTTTACTATGATTTTGTTTTGTTCATGATACTACACGCACATTTCAAAAATAGTTTTCTTATTGAAAAATTGTTTTCCTTCATCCTCAGTGTGATTTAAAATATTCAATGAAGTTTTTCTCCAGATTTTCATCAAGATTATATCGCAATGCTGTAAGCTCGTTCTGAGAGAGGCAAAAGATTGGATCAAAAGGAGATTACACACATTTTTTAAATTTGATGTTGCAATCATAAGATAGATCTTGAAAAAATGTATCAACATTTTTTTTGTTGAACAACTCTCGTACTTGTAACATTAAGGTTTAGAGATAAGCTCACGCAAAAATAAAAATGTAAACTTTGAAGATGAAAGATATCAACAATGTTTATACATTCTCTTATATAGCTCTTATCAACAAGTACAAAGAGATAATATTTCATATCCATCATCCATTCCACTACTAATGGATGGATGATATGGCGAATAACCGTAACAAATACATGAATTGCTAACGTGGCGCTTTCAACTAACACGAATTAACATACTCAATCTTTACTTAACAAGCGCACAAATCACATGGCGCTATTAACTAACACATTTACTCTTTATTCACCAAGCACGCAGATTGCTGATGTGGCAACTATAATTTGTACACATTAAAGTAACTATAACTTCTTGAATAACATATACTTTAGTTCTAACTAACAAAAGATGATTACAAATCTTTATACTTTTAGGATGCAATGTCTTCGTTGCACGTACGTTCAAATTCTTGATTTATCAAAGTTGGATAAGCTAGTTTTTTAGTTGGTTTCCAAGTTGATTTGTAGAATGTACATACTTTTTAATCAAACCAAATACTCAATCTTGGAATACTTATGGCCTCGAATCCGTTTCTTAGGTATTTTTTCTACCTCAAATTCCTCATGATCAACTATCAAGGCTGGTAAAAGAGTTAACACTGGTTGATTTGTGAATTGTTTTGGTCTTGATACATATTTTTGCAATCCTGAAAAATGAAATACATGATGTATTTTCATATGTGACGGAAGTTACAATTGTACGACACTTCATCTACACGTTTTAATATCACATAAAGACTAATGAATCTAGAAGTAAACTTTGATGGTCTGTAATACCGGATGTTGTATGTTAAATAGTATTATTAGTAATAAAGAACTTGATCATGGTTAACTTAGGTATGATTAGATTAGCTGGTTATAACAAAATTTATCTAGTGATGATTAAGTTTAGCTATAATGTCTATGTTTGGCAAGAAAATAAAGGGAGTTCAAGAAGATTTGGATGTGCACTTCTATTTTTTCTCGTACAAAAATCTAGATTTCAAGGTAAATTTTTTTTTTGATATACACCTTATCAAAAGCTATGGAAAGTAGCTAATATCTGTGTGTTATGCGTTAGCATCTTTCGTATAGTAGAACAAGGCGACTTACCACAAAACCTTTAAGGATTTGTGCTCATCAATGCCTAGGCTAGGTAAAGGCATTTTTCATCAGCTAACTAAAAAAATAATAGGAATTTTTCCACTTCCTCAAACTTAATTTTTAATATCTTATTACGGTGAGTTTGACTTCATGTTTAGTTTTGATTGATTTGACTAAGCAATGTATACTTCATTGGTTAGATTAAGTCTAATGATGACTTAGTGGCAAATGGAGATCATAGAAGTTGAAAAGGCACAAATGGCAAGTCGCTTCTTCAATCTAGGTATTAGTAAACATTTAAAAGATTTAGTAGTGCAATGACATGTTGCCACGTATTGAAAACTAGTCAAACTTACTATGAAAGTAACTTATCTTATTAAAAGTAAGTTAGATATGAATTAACATTTATTATTATTGTAAAATTTCAAATAGTATATATAAAAGCTAGGTAAAAACCTTTGAAGCAATTTTGGAGAATTCATATGTAGAGATTAATTTCATAAACAAAAGAATGATGTTTATAGCATCTTGAAGTGTTGATATATGTGCGAACTTGAGTGACGAATGAAGAAAATGTGTGAAAAAATGACCATGACAAGAAAATCTAGTCTTCTAAAACCATGATGAGCTAGCTCAAAGCCATATGAGTTAAACTTGAGTGAGAATCAACCCAAAGTTTGAAGTTCTTACGAGAAACAAATTTTTTGTAAATAATTAAACATGATTTCAACCTGAAAAATTAACTCTCAACGATGAGCATCGGCATGATGTTTTTGTCGATTCTGAGCAATTAACAACTTCTCCTTTGTTTAATGTAATTCCTTGTGCATATGTTCCACAA